TGACCTTGGCGAGCGAAGTGCTCTGGGACTTATTTCTTTTATTATTTGTGCTTTGACGATCTTCTCAAGAGGGATAAACCAGGGGAGACGTACAAGGCTGGCGTCTTTAAGACAATAGATCCTTCATGTAGGAATGAAAGCGCTTGTGGGCTGAGATGTGAGACGCCAATGGATCCACAATCCAATCTTTCCGAAAGCCAATTATGAGCGTCAGTGACAATTTAAGTACACCTCTCCAAGAAGGGATGTATTTATTCACAGATGCTGTTCCACAACTTCGAGCTACTCGCGTTTGTGTCTAGCGCATGACGTAGTATAGTGCACTATCACCAACAGGCCTTTATTCCTTCGGCTTCCAGGTATCGATTACAACGCGATACAGCACGACGGCTGCTGTGAGGATGTATAGGGCTTCGATCCGATTTTGTTTCCACTCTTCCTCAGATCTGTGCCCTAGGAGTCTCACGCTTGGGTGCTCCGGCTCGCTCGCGGGCGATTGCTGTTGCCTATCGTTGCAGTACCTTTGGTACCCAAAATCATGCTTTTGGTCCTGCTCGGAAATCCCCCAGAGCCCTACGTCCAATCTGACAAAGCCGATAGGCATCCAGTAATTCTTTGTCATCTTCCTCTCCAAAGTGAACTCCCAAAGGTTCTCAATCTTCAGGGTCCCCTCCTTGCAGCAATACTCCCACTTGATGGTTCTGGAACAGCTCCACTTAAGCTGTTTATCCTTCTCCGGAGTAAACATGCCCTCCAGATAGCTGATACTGGAGTACGTAGTCGCTGTGAGACAGAAATGTAAAGGCTGAGAAAACACCAACACCACTTACAGAAATTTCTCGATCTCCTCTGCTTTATATCCTGCTATATCCAATCTGAACTCCGAGGTACGGCCTCCCCTCACCCACGCCTGGTAAACCTCGCGCTCCGGTATCTTGGTAATAGTGGCAAACAGTTCTCCTCCTGTCTTTGCCTTGATGGACCACTCCATACCCCTTCCTTCTTGCTCTTCATCGACGAACGCCAGGTACTGGTCGGTCGGATATATACCGAGGGTTGTGTGATAAATATTGTCACCCTCTCCCGTCCGAGAGGGCATGGACTTAAGGTCTGACAACTCCATTTTGCCTGGCATTTTGTGATAGATTTCTTCACTGGGGGAACAGGCTTCTGTTGAGAGGTGACACTGCGAGATTAAGATTGGCTGTTGGTCCTGAAACAGCCACCTATTTATCATATCCGGCTCCATTTTTCTGCCAGTAAATGTAACGGATACTAAGCGAGAACAATAAATCCCAGCTAACATTCCCGGTAGAGAGCCGCCAATGGACCACTCCTCGATTCGCAATTCAGATGTGGGTCCTTATTGTACAAACCTGATCCATTTTCGCGTTCTATTGTCCTAAATAGGAAACGGACCCACAGGAATTATAGCCGACACTACCGCCAAATGTGGCTATTGAGAATATGCTTTATAGAATATAAAGTCGATTCGACGCACCACGTGGAACAGACTTCGGGGAATGGCAGTCAGGATATATGTATTGTTGGAATCGGCAGGCCGGGCCGCCGGCAGTCCGTACTCAGACATTCCACCTCGACAAGTCGCTCCTCGATTTGTCATGTACTTTCTTGTTTATTCTAATTATTTCCTTATGGACACTTTACTTAGTATAGTATTTATTAGAATATTCTAGCTACTTTGTACGTAGGTATATAACCCCTCTCGACAGGCGCTAAAGAATTAATCGTCTTTTAACCACTTACCACCACCACTGCGCCAACATGTATATCTCAGATACACTGAGAAAGAATGTTTGGCAAAGCCGAAAGGCCTGTGACTAAACATGGTGTAGGCATGTCAAAGATATTAATAAAGTTGTATCTGGGAAGGGAGAAAGACAGTCTATATATGTCTTCACTGACCCGAACGAGCCTCAGAGCAGAGGGTCGTGGTCGAGTTCAGGTAGACAAGGAGGAGACGGATGAAGGCGAACGGGACGTTCGGGTGATGCGGTATGCGATGGGAGCATGATGGGGAAGGGTGGGCGGTCCAGGGAGCGGATGAGGGAAAGCGCACAGAGGAGAGTGGAAGAACAGGGAGACGGAGAATGGGGAAAGTCCAGGGCAAGTGGACAAGTGGAAGACAGCAGACAAACTAGAGCGCTACGTAGGGCTATACGTATGATCGAGGCACATTGATTGTCCTGTCTCTTCTTGTAGCTGGTGAACAGAAAGCATCGAGGGCACGGGAGCAGGTTGAGGTCAGACGAGGACAAGGCTTAAATCATTGATAGGAAGAGTGATAGAAGGGAAGGACACTGTCCAGGGAACGAGCTTTCACTCTCCCAGTTGAAACGATGCTAGAAACTGCTGAGCAGAGCTCAAGCTAGGTTCCTGGGGCACCGTTGGAAGTACTATCAAGTAGATGTCGCTCGTTCCCTGGGTGGTGTACATCCACCGTCTCTGAGTTGGTGTGTGTGCAGAAGTAGGAGTGGGGGAAGGATTGCAAACAGGTGAAAGGGAAAGTGATCAAGGAGGCGATAAGGAGGGCCCCTGGGTAGAAAGGAAGGGAAGGAAGGGTTTGGTGCAGAGGTCACTGATGTCACTGGTCTAGACTGTCTGTCTGGCAGTTGCCGCACGATGGTTGGCTTGCAGATATTGCTTTCGACTACCCGCTGCCCACCTCTCAGCCATTTGGCACTCGATATTGCGGGCAGAAATGGCATCTTCTCTCTTGACATCCAACAACTATTGCAGTGCTCGAGGCGCACCTCCCTCAGATTCATCATGGTCGGACGTCGGATGCTATCGTTTCACCATCCCTGGGCCTTGTCGACCACTGCAATAGCGAAGATACGTGTCTCTCCACCTGCATATGCTTGGCCCGCTCTGCCCAGTTCAACACTGACACTCCCCATGGTGATGTCTGCGGGCATCAATACCTCATCGCGTCGCTGAGGATCTCCCCTGCCAGCAGACTGTGAACCCTGCCTTGGCCGCCCGCCTGCATGGAGACTATCATGCTGTGGTGGCGCTCCAACACTCCTCCCTCCTCGGACTCTCCATCCGTTCATCCATGCGCCATGCCGTCCCTATCTCGAAGTCAAACACGGTACGTTCCCTGCCATCCATGTCAACACCGACTTCTTTGCCCCCCCCCCAATCTTCTTCTACCTGCTCTCCCAGCCTTCTGGATCCTCTTTCCTTCATCTTTGCGTTCTCCCCTCCCTCCTTTGTTCCACATCCCAGAACATCAGTCCTGACTTAACTTCTCCCCCTAGACTTGTGGCAGAGCATGAACCAGGAAGGCCTCGAACATTGGTGTTTTGACGCATCCTGGTGGAGGCGATCGAGCATTGAGTAGACTCTAGCAATTCGAGGGGGGCATCTGTTAGTGCCGGTGCTGACAAGGACGGGGTGAGGACGATGGGTCGTATCCTTGAGGACTTGATGTACGCTTGAGGTGTGTCTACCTGCTCTATTCTCTTCTGCCTTTCCCCTCTTTCGCTTCCTCCGCTTCACCATACTCTTCCTCATCGCCGTCATCAGTTCTCTTTGACCCCGTTTGTCGTTGATACCACCTTCTGATTTCCCCTGAGCTTCTAATCGTTCTGCGCTCTGTGTATCTTCTCCTTTGGGGGATCATGCACATGTTTGGTCTCGTCCCAGGCCCTGGGCCCCTCCTCCCCTGCACTCCTCCATCCGTCTGTCCAGTCGCATACTCCATCAATCACGTTCCTTCTTCTCCTTTCTTTCTTCCCTGCCCTCATCCGTCCTTATTCTTTCCCCTCTTTCTACCATCAGCCTTCTTCACGTCCCTGAAACACTTCCAAATCCCATTCGCGTGCTGATCGAAACACTCTACCACCAGATCCTTCTACTCAATATCTGAATCTCTCTGGGCGAACACCATACAAAGTCAAATGAGCATACCTCCAGTGTGCGAGGGCTGAGGGTCGAGCGAGTTTTAGTTCATGAATTACAGTGCGTGTATTACACTGTCAAGCCGTCGAGATGAGCTCATTGTCTGCGTGTGTCTAGGGCTCCGAAGTCTTTGTGACTGACGGTGGTGGTTGGAAGTGGCTGGTCCCTCAGTCAGGTATTTCGGCTGTACCTCTCAGAGGACGAGAACATCCAGCGCTATGTGGGGGATTGCACAGATATGGGACATATTTGAGGGTTGGCCGCTCGTTCGAGGTACGTCTTCCTTCCTCGCTCTTGTTCCTTACACGCCAGTGCTCCTCTTTCCCCATTCCACAAATTTCCAACCTTGTGCCCCGTTCCGTGTTCGGATTCCAAATCTGCATCGCCGTTTGAGCGGGCTCAAAGTTCATAGGTGGATCGTTCTTCAAACTTTCTTGCCTTTCGAGTTCAAGTTTGTGTCATGTGTCATCTTTCGCTGATGCGGGTCCAGGCTGACTCTTGTTCCCTTTCTTTCCTGGTGTTGGCGATGTGCTCCGGGCTTCCGTATCCTCCCCCTTCATTTCGACTTTGACTGGATGCAGCTCTTTCACCGTTCATTTCTCTTTCCCTCTACCCCAGCCCCTACCAGCCTTCTGTTCTGTTTGTTGTTTTTCCTGGATGTGCCGATCAGAGTCTTCAGGTTTGACTCGAGTGTGATTTGGCCCTTGGCCATGGCATGCAAGGAGGTGCTATCTCTTTGTCATTGGCAACAGCAGTGCTGAACTCTCGTCAGGGACTCTACTATTTTCATTTCTTATTTCATTTATTTCTTGAGCCGTGCGCCATATTCTCCCAAATCCGAATCCCCTCTTTGCTTTTGATCAGCTGCATTCAATTTTGTCTTTCACTCTCTGCTCTTTTCTCCCCTGCCCATCTGCTCATCTCTCATCACTCAGCGATTGCTTAGCGCATACTAAATACAAAGGCCAGGATTGAGCGGGATAGCTTGGGCTTTCTTTGAGGTGATGCACCCTGCACTGCACTTGAGCATTTATGCGAGGTTTCTTTGAAGCACCTCCCCTTCATTAGCCCTGCCTGATCCTTTTCTTTCGTATGACTGTCTTCTAGGCACATGCTTTCTCTTTCTTGGGAGTCAGTGTGATGCCATGTGCTTCTTGTTGTGTCCCTCATTGCCCCTGGGATGGCTCGAGAGCTTGGGGTCTTGACAAGAATTTTCTTCAGCACTTCGTATTCCACTGCCTCTTTATTTTATCACAATCTCCCTTCTTTCCTCCCTCCACCCTGCAAGGACAGAAGTGCACTCGGATCGGAATCAGGCAGTCCGTTGGTGCATCTCCCTTCAAGGTTACCACCCACCCTGCATCTTCGTCGATGTTTGGGCGGGTTTCCTCGATATGTGTAAAAGATTTTGCCATATGGCTTGCCTGGTTCAACGTCTAGCCGTGCTGCTGAACAAGGTACGAACCGATGGTACCCTTCCGAGATCGTTTTCATGAATAGAGTTTATGTCGCGTCAGTGGCTTATTGACGGATTCTGGAGCATCTGTTCAGACGTCCGTCTTTTTGTTTTTGATCCTTCAGTGTTGCATCATCTCTGGAGATCTGTCAACGCAAGCCACGGAGGGAAGTTCATCTCCGCCGAACCATACGCCTTGAACTGTATCTGAGAGCTGGTTTAAAAGTTGATGCCCATGCATGCGTTGAGTTGTTCTATTGGAATCTGTGTTTTCTGGTCTTTCAAGCTCTGAATGACGGTGGGTGCTCCATGGTCCTATCTCGAGCCCCAAGGCATTTATCTTCGGGTCAGGAGGACTGTCTCCATTCCCTAATATCTCAAAATACCAATATGTAAAAATAGAGCTCATAGACACAGGAAGGTGAGAATGACCCCTTTGGTTCTATGAGATTCCAACAAAATTTTGAGTGCCTGGGCTGGGTAAAGACAATGGTTGAAAGTTAGGAGGAAAGGGAGAATGAGGATTCTGTTGAATGGTGACTCCTCGGTACTCACCACTCATCCGAGGTAGAATAAGATAGGGTGATTAACCATAGTAGTGTACATTGATGCACTGAACATGGCCCGTCAGAACCAACAATGCCTACAACAAAAGAAGAGCTTAGGCCACACTCACACGGATACCAATAACTCTTTCCTTGTCCAAGAGCACACCGTCAAACATATGCCTCTCCTCTGAGGTGACTGCGACATATGGAAGGTCACTCACCACCTCATTTAGGAACATCCTGTTGATGTCATCGAGCTTGTCCTTGGTGTCAATGCACCATATGGGATTAAGTCAGGCGAATACTGGCTCATCGTACTCATCCTCTTCGTCCTCTGTATTGCCCTCCCCCACTTGAAACTGGTCCTTATCATCTTCATGCACGGGCTCGACTTGGGACGGAGGACCATGTAGCAGCGTAAATGATGGGCCAAGGCCCCATGTCCTCCTATCTTTGTACACCATGCAGCTCTCTGCTCGTGCAGGCAGTGGCGGCATTAGAGGTGCTGGTGCAGAGTCACATGCATCTTCCTCTGCCAGTCTCTTCTTCATCCATCTCATATTGTCCCTATTGAAATTGAGTATGACATACCGGTAACCCGCCTTGGGAGGCTCGCATCCTATGACCACACATTGCTGACCTGCAGCTGTCGTAATCCAATTCATGGGGACAGTGTCGGCTTTGAACCAATGTGATACTGCTGGACCCCACTGCGCCCATGGGATCTGCTCAGCGGCCCCTTCGTGCTTGCAGACAAGGTCGAGGAATGCACTGTGATGAACAAAGAGCGTGAAATCTTCAGAGAAGACAGGGTCTATTTCGATCCCTCCACACCTGATATAGCTGCTAATCTCCATGGTGAATACACAGATTGCATTAGCGGCGCTGGCATGGAATCCACAACTCAGCTGAAGGTGATTCCCCTCGATGACTCTGCCATTGAGATGTTCTCAGGCTCGCTGGTGATTATCTATGAGCAATGATGTTCCTATGGGATTGGGCTCTGCTCAACATGAGACGCTGGCTAATGAGTGGCCTTCTCTGAGAGTTGGCAGGGAAAGTTTCAGAATGGGCATTAGTGTATCGGCTGTTGGCCTCGACAGGATGCATAAGATCTCGAAGGAGTTCGTGCGGATGTTTGGGAGTAGGGCAAGGTATTCGGAGAGGAAGATGAGTCCCCTGTACATGTGGCATGGCGTGGAAAAGCTCTGGTGATGTCAGAATCGCAGTAGAGATAGGAAAGGTGAGATGTACTGCTTTGAGGATCGAGGACCACCACTCATAAATGAAGACTTGGTCATCAGGTTTCTCGGGGTAGTCGTGGAAGGTGAGTATGAGAAATATATGATCGCCTACAATCTCAATACTGATAGCAGGCTTCTTGAACAATGAAGTCATGACAAGAATACGCTCTTCTTTTGCCTGAGGGTGTCGTTGGCCAGACGAGAATTCACGTAGGGTGAGCTCAATGCCATATGATGCAGGCTCTGTGAGCTCCCTCTGGTGTCTGCAAGGAGTATAAACGGAGTTCAATTGGAGTTCAAGGAAGTTTTGTCCCAGACTCATGTCATAACAATTGCAATAAGGTCATGCTCGAAAACACAGAGACCAGTGTCGATGATTGCCTGATCAACGTTTACCGACCTCCAGCTTGTATCGTCGTCCAGCTTCCTTGGAAGCTTGATATAATGTATTGCTCTTTGGTCGATGCTTCCCAGCAGGTACGCACCACCTGTGAGGTCATAGATCCCTGAGGTCTGGTGGGGCACCGGCACCAGAATTTCCACCTTGAACTTTGGTTTCAGCATACTCCACGCATCTTCACTCACCCGTAAATGTTCAAGTTTCTTTGAGAGAGGTGCAGACGAGTATGGGTTATCTTCTGCTCGAGCGACTGCCAGAGCCATGTTGTATTGGAGGACAACAGAGTTGTGGATGAGGGTGCGGAGTTGCCTGTTGGTGAGCTGGCACAAAACCAGATTGTGAGGTGATAAGTATTCGAGAACGCAGAGAAGAATCTCGGGTGGCAGCTGAAGCAGGTTCATTGCTGTTGTCGCTGGTGTTGAGCAGGCAACAAAGGGCTGGTCTGTGCACCAGTCCACTGTTTCTTATCGCATCTCGCATTTTCTTATCTTATCTTAACTGCAATTTGTAGGTCTCGGGGCTTGAACCAAAGAGCCGGGTCTTTGCAGTTTTTGCCCTTGCAAAGGGGCTTGTCAGAGGGCTTAACCGCTATCCTAAACTGCTTTGGTTCTGTAAGCCAATTTTAACATTTCGTGCTACCCAATTTGACTTGCACTACAGGGATTCCACTGAGGTAAGGGTGTTCCACCCAGGTACTGTGCAGTTTGACCCTGGACTAGTTGGGTGTGTGTGAGGGGGGGTTATCGCCTGATTACAGCACTGTGGTGCGCCTGATGTAATCACAGGGGCATCACTCGTGGTTGAGCAACTGCCGACGTACTGCCATTTCTGGACTTTGCGCATCCCATGTCTGTTCACTGACCAATCTCAGACTCAGTCGGCAGTCTCTGAAGATAATGCCGAAACAGTGCAAAGACCTTTTTTTGCCCAAGTCCTGCAGGAAAGAGGTGCTGGCAGTTCTGGATGTACATTCTTTCGCCAATTTAATGAGAACAGTAAAGACGAAAAGGTAGGCATCGGGCTTGCAAATAAGTTAGCCTGTAAGATGACGGGTAGGTTTGGGTGTGAGTTCAATGAGTCGGATGAGAATATGTAGAGGAGATGGACAACAGCTGCTCAGACCTTGGTACAAGTTTCAGTTCCAATTCGTTATTCATTTGATTTGAATCAAATACGGAAGGAGGAGGAGGAGGAGGAGGAGGAGGATTGATTAACTGGGGAGGTCCCACTAAGGAATGACCGGCCTGTGTATCTAGAGCTACAAGCTACAACATGGAAGGAATTTAAGGAAATGAACGTGACGCACTTGTATGAGCATGACAAAAGAAGAGGGATCGTACATACACAAAAGTGACTAACGAGGAACACTCATGCTGCTGTAAGACTATTGCAAAACTTGTACAATAGTGAGGCAAACTGAATCTTCAGGGAACTTCCTAACTCTCTATAATAGAGGCTTTGCGCAAAGCCAGCTGGAGCCAGTGCTGGCTCAAAAATGTTGCTCTGTGTCGTGTAGCCAGTAGCGGCCAATTAGTGACTATGCTTTTAACTTAGTCTTATGTAGTACCATGTATGTCTGGATGCCAGGGGAGCTCAATGACAATGCAAGTATCTCACTGTATTCGTCCGTGCAGCTACGACAATCTCCAGAAACTAACCTATATATGGAAACTGAGCAAGCAGAAAATATCAACCGTGATCAACCGTTGAGCAACCACCCCCACAGATTGATATTGTGTGGAGCTCTCCAGGAAATACGAGGTTATAAAGAGATGTAAGTAATGTTAATATATGGCATTCATCGGTCTGATGTTCAGGTTCTGCTGGCTAAAGGTCTCAGCGCAATGCATTTGAGCCACCACTGGCTCCAGCTGGCTTTGCGCAAAGCCTCTAATAACCACATCACAGTCAAATTTCAGTCCTGGTATCACAGATACTCCAGGGCACTGAATCCGGTTGCGCTCAGCCCAGTCGTCCTCCAACCTAGATCTGTATGCAGCAAATGGTCCATCATACCTCTCCTGGCAATAGACCCAGAATTCGAGGTCAAAGCGCTCGAGATGCGGGAAGGCCTTGTGGGTGATGACCTCGTTGAACTGCCTCAGGCATCATGTCAGCTTGTCATGGGTGTCCTTCATAGTGTTGAAGTGAACCATGAAGTTTTTCAGAGTGTTCTTGCCAGCGAGGAGCTCGAGTTCATTGATGAGCCCTAAGAACAAGTCAGGCTTGTCAGGGTCCATTGTTTGTGAGGCACTTTCGTGTGAGAGGCTGATGGCCAGCATTGTCAGACTGCTGTCAGAACTGCAGTCTAGCATCACCTTCGCCAGTCCTACTATTGATTTCTGTGGAGATTCAACTGTATTTAAAAGGAAAACACTTCAGCCATCCATATTCTTCATAGAGCCATAATGATGCCACTTGCCTATGCATGCCAGGCCTTCGAGCTTGCTCAATGCCTTTATAAGTTCCGTCCCCATCACACATTGTAGCTCGTTCCCCCAGCTAATATGGAGAGATTGAAGCTGCTCAAAATTGAACACGAATGGGCAGGAGGCCAACACGCCACCCATGTCATGATCATAGTATTGTAAATTCAGGATCTGGGGGAGTCGTCTCTTCTTACTCTGTGTTGGGTCCATTCGTCTTGGAGTATCATTGGAATTTATGCTTTCAAGCCCTTCAATGGATTCTTGCTGTATCTTTACCTCAAGCTTCACCATGGTGAGATCCGGGGACAAGGATGCGAACACCAATAAAGGCATGTTCTTGATCCATGAGAGAGAAAGGGACTTGAGATGCGGAGCCTGAACGGCATGCATGATGGACAAGCGCAGTCACACATCAAGCGTGTCCCAGTCAAGGTACGGCGCACTTGGTGTCTTGGAAATGTATTCAACCTGGACGCCGGAGAGGTTGTCAGTGAGCTGGTTCAAGATCCAGTGAAGAGTTGTGTTCTCCAAGTCCGAGTCCAGGTCCTCTATGACGTAGCACACTCTACGCACAAATGAGGCGAGATGGGGGGACTGGGTGAAGATGTCTTCTAGACGGGCGAGTGTGCTGGCTCTACGAAACTGCGATCCAAGATATCTTCGAGAGATATGCAGGTTCCTGAAAAGGATACGTTGGCATAAACAAGCGAGGGCACGGCAACAGCGAGAAAGGGCGTGCAAGGTACTCGCATCTGCCCTGGATGTGTGCATCTTGACGATGAGCATCCAGATCTCTAGGGGCAATGGCTTGGTTGGTACAAGCATTTTGAGCACTGGGAGAAAATAATCCTGCTAGTTTTCAACATCATTAGTAGCAGGATGGGTGGTGATGAATTTTGGCCAAGCTGGCACAGTGGCTTTATAGAGTTGGTCGAGCCACATTGGAGCCACCAGGGCCACCCTTCTGTGGCCAGTTTATTGTTCACCACATATAGAACAAAGGCACATCGCGCCCAACACACACCCCATGGCGGACATGCACACGGCGGATGCACACGGGCATATCAGACATTCTCGTGGTGGTTCAGCTTGGGACTGACCCTAGACTTCATCAAGAGAGGGGGGATCGCAACATCAGGCACCTGCGGGAGGACAAAGCACGAAAACCCATTTCTAAACTCCAATCTCTCAGTGCATTCGAGCCAGTAGCCCGTGGGCATGACGCGAAGCCCACCACACCAACTTCCAAGAAAGAAAGAAAGAAAGAAAATATATCTCCATCCTGATAATGTTCCTGAATCTAGCAAACTCTACCACACTCAGGACAGGATCAGGCAGGCCACAACAGATCTAGTGCATTGAGGAAACCCCACTCAAGTCAAACGCTGCTCAAGTGCAGCACACGGGGTATATAACCTCAAAGAGACCCCTGGCTGGCCTGCCCGATCCAGACCTCTGCCAGTAGATAGTGTGTCAAGTGGTTGCTTAGTGGGGTGGTGAGGAGCAAAAGAGGAGGGGCAGAAAGTAGCAAAGATGAGACTCAGTTCAGAAACGCATAGAGGGAAAAAAGCAGCCCCAGCAAAGGAAGAAAAAGAAGGTGTCTGTGCGAGCTCGCCAATGAAAGTGAACGCCGTTGTCATCAACAAAGAAAACATGCGCCATCATTCAGAAAGTGGTATAAGACCCCAAAAAAACGGAAACAGGACAAGAAGGAACTCATGCTCAAGTCGAGCTCGAAACGTGAACGTCAAGGTTCCGAGCAAGGTAGAAAAGATACAGGTAAAAGAAGGGAGAATTAAAGACGATACAATATAACACATACCGAGTTTCCTGCATTGGTGGCTGGTCTCAAGCGAGAGAGAGACGCCGTGCTGAATACTTGAAAGTATAGCAGCAGTGGGCGGTCGGTCGGCATCAATGCACATGGAAGGGTGCATAAGGCCAGTGGATCTACATGAAGTCGTTAGAGCACAACAAGAAAGCAAAGAAAGCCCGAGAGAGATGATTGCTAGTTGGAGTTGGAGTAGGGGCAAAAGTACGAAACAAGTACTTCAATCGTGACACATGTCAAGGAAGAACGAAGGACAGAAGGCCGAGCCACTGCCTCCGCCAATAGGGCAAGATTGACGTTGTATAAGATGAGCAGAAAAGGGGGGTAAACCTGGATTGCACCTTCAGCAAGAAAAACAAAAAGTAAGGAGTGCATAACAGTGAACCCAGAATGTCCACACCGGAAAGTGGGAATGTCGGAAGAATTAAATATGTGTACCATGAACATGAACAGAAACACAGAAAATCTGGAGATGGAACCTAGGTGGAGAATGGTACTTGAGAACAAAGATAATGTGCCTCGATTAAGCTGCCAATGACGATGGGAAGGCATTTATTCAAATGAGAAAGGGAGGGTGTATGACCGAATGTGGAACACAGACGACGAAGTATATCCAAGACGAAAGACGAGAAAGAGTAAGCATTGTAAATGAAGCCTCCATCAGAAACACAGCGGGCGAGGTGGGGAACGGAACACAAAAAGGGATGAACGGTCAACGGAAAGACGAAAACCAGAGAGTCAGGATGATGAAGGGGAATTTGGAAACCATGACGAACCTTGAGCTTGAGCGTCTTAACAGTGACCTCCATTCTTCGCTTCAGCGTCCTCTCCGGTTGCCCACCTTCTCTAGCAGCGTTCGTCCAAGATATCGAGAGTAGTGGCCAAGTCAAACTTGCAATTGCGTGTTCACATTTAGATCTGCAACAAAGGAGGAGAGTGTGTGTCAGCACCGATGCATGAATGTCCATTCGAGGAAGGAAGAGAGGAGAAGATGAGGATGGGGATGAGGATGAGAGACATGTGATCGGGGTCAAAGCGACTGGCTATGCAGACGGCGGAACAGACACGAGGGTGGCGGAACAAAGGCAGGAGGGGATGACAGGAGCGATATTGAACCAATGACGAGAGCGGACAGTGTACCATGTTCCACTCCAGATGCTGATGGCGGGTAGGCGGGAGATCTAGGGGGAGGATGTTGGGCCCCGAGCACAAAGTATGCAATCGCGTTCTGCAGGAGAGAAAGTAAATGGAGTGTCAGCTTTACTCCCCAGGAACCGCAAAGAGAGGGGAAGCGAAAGGAAGGAAGGAAAGAAGGAAGGCCTAGGACAGGGAAAGAAGGAAGGCAAAATCAGGGGCGATGGAAGGAAGAGGCGCAAAGGGAGTGAAGAAAGGAAGGAAGGAGGGGCACAAAGGAAGGGGCGCACAGAAAGGGCAGAAGAACATGCAGATGAAGGAACAAGGAATACACAGTGTATGGGCAGCGGAGGGGCAGAGGTTGGAACTTGGAACGGCGTGTGAAGAGGGCCAGACGGGGATGATAATGAGAGCGGGCAACGTACTGCCTCCCACTCCAAGCAGGGATGTCCATGCCCCGTGCCCATGCCCGTATTGAGCACTGAGTGCTGAGCTATTGGTCAAGCAGGCTGAAGGAGGGGGCGGAGCACCGAGTGCTGTGGGAGTGCTGTGGAGACCTAATAGTAATGGTATCCATCCAACATTGGTCCTAACCAGGATGGTGTGCTGGGAGGCGATATCGTCAGCGATCCGAACACTATTACTACTTGGGACACACGCCTTCCAGTACCGCGGCCTTCGTTCGACGGGCTGAGGCTGTGGCTGCCTCTGAGGCAGGTGCACTGTCTCTCGCAGTCTGAGGAACACTGGTGGTGGTGGTGGACACACGAGTCCAACCAGAGTCCGCGTGTGATGTCGACGATTCCGATTCCTTCCTTCCTTTCTGCTCCTTGCCCTCTCCTTACTTAAACCCCTGTGTCCCACCTACCACATGCAGCTGACTCAGAGAGATGGCGGACTTCCAGGGAGCAGGCATTTGACACGTCGCTCCACCCTCACCTGTGCCAGGGTGCACTCAAGAGTACTCGATGGTCTAGCCCCGTGCGATTGGGAAATTGCGCACCAGGAGGTCCTGTTTCCTGCGTCCATGCTCGTCTCCAAACCTTGGGGCTCCTGGATCCTATCCATAGCTTCCTCGCTGTCGTTGACATTCGATGCCAATGTCTTTCTCTCATGTTGTTTATAGCCAGTGCTGTCCCACTTCCTCACCAACCAGCGACTGCCATTGTCTGCTCCTTTCCGCCACCCCCGCCACCTCATCATCATCGTCCTCCATCCCCTCCCCTATCTCCTCAGATCCAGCCTCAAACACGGTGTGTTCCCGATCCTGATCCTGATCCCGCCCTCTCCTCTCCTTGTCCATCTACCACTTGCCTCGTCTCATCCACGAGCGTCGTTGAGCTCGGCGGACAGTGATGTGAGCTCACCATCGCACTGTCACACGTCAAAATTTAACTGGAAGGCCAGGAAGACCAATATCGGAACGAATGACAAGGCCAAAAGCGAATGGTGAACGATCTGAAGCAGGGCAAAGAAATGCTAAAGTCCTACTAGTACCTGTGCTCGAGAAAGGGTACAAGAAAAAAAGAAGAGGTTATTCATGGGCAACGCATGGAAGGAGCATGGTGTATGGTGGGCAGCAGATGACATGGAGGACGAAAAGCCCGAGGCCTATCATCGACACTAGAATCCTGTGAACAGCAAGACCAAAAAGAAAAGAAAAGAACATAGAGAGAGGGTGCAGGATCGTGTCGAACATGAAAACCAAATGATAAAAGGCCGAACGCGCAAGCTCAAGTCCGAAGTGCAAGTCTGATTCAGGACAGTGTTGAAAGGCGAACATTGAGTGTGCAGAAAAAAATGTCGACTGTCAGACCGGACGAAAGTACAAAGAAGAGGAAGGGGCATCAAGTGGGAAGGGAGAAAACATAGATCGGTCTCCACCAACTCTGGACAAGCATTAGAAACGTCGGCGACCAGTAGAGAACACAAAGAAAGACAAAGGGAAAAAGAAAGAAAAATGAAGAACGTGTCATCGTCAACAACGCAACCCACTCCAATATTGAAAGGTCCAAAAACACAATCGACAGGAACATGGCGCAGGATCTGGCCAAAAATGATTTTGTTAAATGTGGAGGTCAAAAGCGCAAGCGCAAGTGGGGAGAGGAACGCAGAACACTGAACACCAAACTTAAACGTCAAACTTAAAACGTAGAACACTGAAACTTGAAACTTGAACAAGCAAAAAAAGGGATCGAACACACCCAACCTGACTGGACCCAAGCTTCAAGAACAAAGGACCAGAGTATGGTGCAAGATCACAGAAGGGAAGAGGGAAAAAGATGGAGGAAGGAGGAAGGAGGAAGTAAGAAACGTACCCATACCCACACATGTGCCCCCACTCACTCACCACCCATCCACCCAGCCCACCTCCCAACTCACGCCATCCATCTCCTGCCCATCTCCTGCCCCTACCCATTGCCATTGATCCTCTATCTGACATGCTCAGCCTTGGCGCTATTGTCTAAGCCCTAAGGAACCACACTTGCTCCATCACGCTCAACACGACTGAGGACGAGTGTCGACGTTTGACCTTGCCACCGATTATGACTCCAGAGGAGTTTCATGGTAAGGGGCCCTCCTTATCACCTCCTTGATCACTTGCCCTTTTGCCCGTTTGCAATCCTTCCCCCACTCCTACTTCCTGCATGCACACCGACTCAGAGACGGCAGATGTACGCCACCCAGGGAACAAGCGACATCTACTTGATAGTACTTCCAACGGTGCCCCAGGAACCTAGCTCGAGCTCTGCTCAGCGGTTTCTAGCATCATTTCAACTGGGAGAGCGAAAGCTCGTTCCCTGGACAGTGTCCTTCCCTTCTGTCACTCTTCCTATCAATGATTTAAGCCTTGTCCTCGTCTGACCTCAACCTGCTCCTGCACCCTCAATGCTTTCTGTTCACCAGCTACAAGAAGAGACGGACGATCGATGTGCCTCGATCATACGTATAGCCCTACGTAGCGCTCTAGTTTGTCTGCTGTCTTCCACTTGTCCACTTGCCCTGGACTTTCCCCATTCTCCGTCTCCCTGTTCTTCCACTCTCCTCTGTGCGCTTTCCCTCATCCGCTCCCTGGACCGCCCACCCTTCCCCATCATGCTCCCATCGCATACTGCATCACCCGAACGTCCCGTCCACCTTCATCCGTCTCCTCCTTGTCTACCTGAACTCGACGACGACCCTCTGCTCTGAGGCTCGTTCGGGTCAGTGAAGACATATATAGACTGTCTTTCTCCCTTCCCAGATATAACTTTATTAATATCTTTGATGTGCCTACACCATGTTTAGTCACAGGCCTTTCGGCTTTGCTGAACATTCTTTCTCAGTGTATCTGAGATATACATATATCCTGACTGCCATTCCCCGAAGTCTGTTCCACGTGGTGCGTCGAATCGACTTTATATTCTATAAAGCATATTCTCAATAGCCACATTTGGCGGTAGTGTCGGCTATAATTCCTGTGGGTCCGTTTCCTATTTAGGACAATAGAACGCGAAAATGGATCAGGTTTGTACAATAAGGACCCACATCTGAATTGCGAATCGAGGAGTGGTCCATTGGCGGCTCTCTACCGGGAATGTTAGCTGGGATTTATTGTTCTCGCTTAGTATCCGTTACATTTACTGGCAGAAAAATGGAGCCGGATATGATAAATAGGTGGCTGTTTCAGGACCAACAGCCAATCTTAATCTCGCAGCATCACCTCTCAACAGAAGCCTGTTCCCCCAGTGAAGAAATCTATCACAAAATGCCAGGCAAAATGGAGTTGTCAGACCTTAAGTCCATGCCCTCTCGGACGGGAGAGGGTGACAATATTTATCACACAACCCTTGGTATATATCCGACCGACCAGTACCTGGCGTTCGTCGATGAAGAGCAAGAAGGAAGGGGTATGGAGTGGTCCATCAAGGCAAAGACAGGAAGAGAACTATTTGCCACTATTACCAAGATACCGGAGCGCGAGGTTTACCAGGCGTGGGTGAGGGGAGGCCGTACCTCGGAGTTCAGATTGGATATAGCAGGATATAAAGCAGAGGAGATCGAGAAATTTCTGTAAGTGGTGTTGGTGTTTTCTCAGCCTTTACATTTCTGTCTCACAGCGACTACGTACTCCAGTATCAGCTATCTGGAGGGCATGTTTACTCCGGAGAAGGATAAACAGCTTAAGTGGAGCTGTTCCAGAACCATCAAGTGGGAGTATTGCTGCAAGGAGGGGACCCTGAAGATTGAGAACCTTTGGGAGTTCACTTTGGAGAGGAAGATGACAAAGAATTACTGGATGCCTATCGGCTTTGTCAGATTGGACGTAGGGCTCTGGGGGATTTCCGAGCAGGACCAAAAGCATGATTTTGGGTACCAAAGGTACTGCAACGATAGGCAACAGCAATCGCCCGCGAGCGAGCCGGAGCACCCAAGCGTGAGACTCCTAGGGCACAGATCTGAGGAAGAGTGGAAACAAAATCGGATCGAAGCCCTATACATCCTCACAGCAGCCGTCGTGCTGTATCGCGTTGTAATCGATACCTGGAAGCCGAAGGAATAAAGGCCTGTTGGTGATAGTGCACTATACTACGTCATGCGCTAGACACAAACGCAACTAGTAGCTCGAAGTTGTGGAACAGCATCTGTGAATAAATACATCCCTTCTTGGAGAGGTGTACTTAAATTGTCACTGACGCTCATAATTGGCTTTCGGAAAGATTGGATTGTGGATCCATTGGCGTCTCAGATCTCAGCCCACAAGCGCTTTCATTCCTACATGAAGGATCTATTGTCTTAAAGACGCCAGCCTTGTACGTCTCCCCTGGTTTATCCCTCTTGAAGATCGTCAAAGCACAAATAATAAAGAAATAAGTCCCAGAGCACTTCGCTCGCCACAGGCATCAATGAAAAACAAAAGAGAAGGCAGGCAGAAGGATAGAGGAAGAGGAAAGCAAACGGAAAGGGCTGCCTTCACGAAAGACGACGGCCAGTCGAAAACGTCGAGACGAAGCAGATAAAAAAAGGAGCCTGAAAAAAGGGAGCCTGGAGCGCATCCTCAACACTGGGAAAAAGACAATGGATTTCCCGTACCCGCAACACGTAGCAGTGAACGGCAACTCGAAAGAGCGACCCATGAGCAACTAACCCTAACCCTAACCCTAACCCTAACCCTAACCCTAACCCTAACCTGCTCGAAACCTATGTCCAAACAAAAGTCCCCATAACCCTAAGCACGGAACTTACTATTTATGCCCTTCGTGACGACGTACAATAACCTAGGGGAGGTCTTGCGGGTGCATGCGCGAAATTCGACAAGGTGAAAATGCAAGTCATTCATTCACCTTGTTCTCGCGGAGCATAATGAACTCACGAGCATGCGCAACTCCCTTGGAAAACACGGTGTATGGCGGTGGAAAGGTGGATAGCCGAAAGGTATCAACGTTGCAGCCAGTCGGCGAGGGAGGGTGGTGAGGGATTCATACTACAGACCGCGAAGTAGAGGGTATACCCCCGAGCTCTCATGATTTTTGCGCTGTGCCGCGCCAAATGCTGTCTGTTCTACCTTCTCGTCCCGGTGTTGTCACTCGAAGTACAATGAAGCTCTCAAAGTGGACAGTCAGCTCAACTGCTCAACCGCTATATCCAAATATCGCCGATGACAATACATGCTTTAAACTACAGTAGAGTACGTTGCGTCTTGGACGCTATACTTATCTTTTTTCCGCCCTTTATAAGCTCCTTGAGCCGCTTCTTGACCTCTTCGTCGATCAAGGTGTGTGTGTATCCCGCGTGCGGTGCGTCAGCAGGATTAAGGTAGAAGGAGAGGGTGAGCTCGAAGGTGGATAGGGGGCGGTAGACAAAATCAACGTCATTCCCGCCGGCGTTGCCTAACGAGAAGATAGGAGGGATAGACGACAATCTGAAGTACGGCACACCGCCTAGAGTGAGAACGCGCAAGCGGGGGAGGAAGGCGTCCTCGACAAGCGTGTACTCTGGGATACGTGCGGTTGCAGCCAGCCGTTCGAAGAAGCTGTCGTGTATCTGGCCCAACCACGCATCCAGCTCGGTCAGTAATGGGGTCTTCTCGAGCACTTCGATGAATTGCTCCGGGGTGGCGGGGAGCGCTTTGATGGTGAGGCATTGCAGGCTGCAGTTCGAGCGCGTGATGAATGAGGAGACGACGGGCAGCTCTCCCGTGGTATGCAAGGTTTGGAGGGCGGGGGCGGCCAGGTGGGGGAAGAGTAGTTCTGACTCGCTTGTTGTGACGATGAGAGTATGGAGGGCAGCGAGGGTGGTTTGTGGGTGGGTGACAACGGAGGTGGAGGATGTGGCGAAGGTGGGAGTGCTGGTGCTGGAGATGCTCCCGAGATTGAAGTACGTTAAAAGGGGCGAGCTCTGCAACAGGAGGAGGGATTCGTCGAGGGTTAGAGAGAGAGCCTCGAAATGTGTCAGCGACGCCCAGTTTATGCAGACGGCCGAAGAGGGTGCCTCGCGGAGGATGACTCGTTGTGGGCTCGGCGCGGTGCCCGCGAAGCGTAGAGCGGTCGAGGAGGATTCAACCTCCCAAGAGTTAAGAGATAGGTATAGTTGGGAGAGGATGGGCGCTTCGCCGTGCAGAAGGGCGAGGTACTTACTCTCGGTGTGCACTTCCAATACCTCCACGCGGGATAAATGGGGATTTAAAGCGTCGAAGATGGGTGTGGGGTCGAACTTAACGGGAGGTTTGCCACCGTGCCGCCTCCAGCGCCTAAGAGAGTTCGTCTGCTCCTCGTCTTCGTAAACGTCCAACCAGAGGGGAAGGCGGCCGGAGCGTCGCAGCCACTCGGACGTCAGCTTGGCATCCAGAGCAATAGTCTGGCGTGATATCTTGACGCGTGCGACGGTCCAGAGATGGGGCGTCGCGAATGCGATTTGGCGCCAGCGTTGGCAGATGGCCGCCAGGAAAAGACCGACCAGCTTGCGGCGCTCAGGCCGTGCCTCGCGTTTGCCGCGGCCATCATATTCGGAGAGCGAGAACGGTGGTGGTGGTATATGAGGAAGGCAGTGAATGAAAATACGGGATACGACTTCCACCGGGAGCCGGCGGACGAGCTGGTCGTGGTGTTTGTTTCGTATGAGTTTGGCGTCACAACGTTTGAGGTAGAGGTTTTGGAGGAGGACACGAGCCTGGGCGATTTGAGCGTCGATGGAGGAGATTTCCCGGCATCCTGGACAAGGATCGCACGCGTCAAACTGGGGACTTGGGCATTCTTCGCCGGAGAGGTTGCTGTTCTCGATATAGCCTTTGACTGTGCACACCGTGCAGGGCGTGTCGTTCTCCATGTCTTCTCTGTGGGCGAAAGGAGAAAACGCCAGTTACCGGAAGTCACTTGCCCGAGACAATCGGATATTTGTGTGTATTTGCTGGCTTCCGAAGTCCTTCCTCCCTTGCAAAGTTGTACGCACCTTCACAGCCATGCAACCCCTCTCGTTCCCAGCTCTGGATCCTCAGTGGCAGATTAATTGAACTAGGACCTCCTCTTCGTCGCCACCCAGACGCTCCTCAGCACATCCACCGCATATCCACGGATTGAGGGCTTCGACACGATCCCGAAATGGGATGACAGGGATTGGGTAGATCGATGGGTATGTCTTCTCCTTCACGTCGAGGAGATCATATTTAGCCTCGTATTCAGCTTAGTTCCGGTTGATAAACGCTCGTACTCTGCTCTTGTGAAACGGTCAATAAAGATCGCTCTTGGATCGCCCCTTCGGTCTATCTACCATGCCGGACAATGAGCGCAATCCCTTCACGATGGTTAGTTAACGAGGCGCAGGTAAGTCATCATTTTTCTTCTCACCGAGCAGCATCTGACATGATACTCTCAGTGCGCGTATTCTCTGCGTTTTCCTTTGGTCATTGGTGCAAATCCTTTCCACGTCGCCCAGGCATGGTGCATCGACACTTATCAACACTCGGCGCTCATCGACTGCGAAGCTTCTTACGGCCTCTCTTTCGACTCCATTTGGACCTCAGATGACATGGAAGGACGGCTGGTTCTGCATCACGGGGAGCTTTTGGATCAGGTACGTGGTGTTCTCTCATCGTCGACTCCTTTCTCCGTGTACTTCACCTTTCTCGTTCTCGTCTCCGTCCCGAATGTTCCTCGATTCTACTTTATCCCCGTCTGCAGGGTAGCCGTGCATTACATCGGGGCGGAGCGTCCTGAATCGCCTGCGTACCCTGAACTTGCCCTCGCACTTATCTCCACTATTCTCTCATTATTTCGCCTCATTTCGCGTCCCTTGCTCTTCCTTCCTTCTTATTTGGCCTCCACGTGCTTGTTGGCCACCAATGCTGACTTTTCTTCCTTCAATAATCTTAGAAATTCGTCAAAATGCGGACTTCTGCTCCGGTTCGCGCTGGTTGAACAACAGCTGCTGCTTTGTTCGACGGCAGGTGGAAATCAGGTGGCGAGATCGAGTACTGGAATGCGATGGTTGATGAGATGAGGGCGGGGTGCTTCGTATGGGCTGAAGTAGACGTCAAAGGTTCGTCCTCTGTAACCCTTGTTACCCTTTCTCGGTTCGTGTTTGCATCTTCGCGTTCCGTTCCGCTGAGGGTGGAGCTATTCACCACTCTGCACCCATTCATTTATCGCATTCGTCGACCATCCGCCTCTATATCTGCTCAGTTTTCTTTTTATACGTTTCTCCCGTCACGACTCTTGCTTACTTCATCGTGATAGGCGCGCCCTCATCGCCACCTGTCTTCTGAGCCCTAATCCCCGATCGGTTTTGCCTTGCTGGCATTAAACACCGTTCCAAAAAGAATCACAACTCCCAAGCCAAGTGCTATTCGCCGTTAATACTCAACATGGAGCACGCCCGATCGCCCTGGAACTTCCTATACAGACGTCGTCATCTTTGTGGCAACCGACAGCTGGTAAGCATGGATCTCTGGCCGTACCCCCGATCCGCTTCTAAATTCAACTTTAGAGCCATCATCTAACTACGAGATGGCGGACGCGACGTTGGCGAAGATCCTTCACGACCGTTCAAGAGCCCAAGAACCGCCGGCCAGAGGAAGGATGAAGAGACCTGCGTTATGAAGGGAGCAGTGCCGCGGAGGGTGACCACGAGGAGGCAGAGGGCGATGGCGACCGCTTTTTCGCGAGGTATGGTTTCTTTTCTTTCTCTCCTTATTTTGTGTTGTGCGGGTTGGGTCGATTTTCGTGTTTGAGTTTCGTTTTCCGCGCGTTGTGTCGGTCGACCTCCACGGATCGCTTTCGCAGGGCCTTCTCTTGCTTGTCTTTCGCCACCTTGTCTAATTCTACCCTCTCCTTTGCGCCATCTACTGCATCTCGTTTGGAGTTTGCATTTCCTCGTTTGCTTACATAAGCTATTTTTCCAACCCCACGTCTTGCTGTTCTTTTTGGGTTTTCCGTTTATTGTACTGGGTGTCAAAAGGACTCTCGCTGTGCATGTATTTCTTCTTCCGCAATCTCCATGCTCTATACTTTCACGATTTTCTTTCGTCCTCACCCACCCCGTGCGACCATCATCATCATCATTTCTCTGATGTCTTCCTTTCCGTCAGTTCGTGTCGGTATCGTCAACTTCAAATATCTGATTACACGCTCTTTTCAGATTTCACTACCGCCTTCGTCGCATACCGTCAAGCAAGCACCGTCTCTCCTGGCCGCCATCGCCATCGCCTTGAATAGCTCGGCTCCTTGCCTATGAAGTCCTACACACGTGCAGGCTCGCGACGGTATGGACAGAAGAGATTTGCGTCATCGAGGGAGACGTACCGCGTAAGATGGCCACGAGGAGGTAGTGGGCGATGGATAGTGCCGTTTGCGAGGTATGTTTCCTTTACTTTCTTTCTGGCATTCTTTCGCGTTGTGTGGGCTGCTTCGAGTCTTCGTGTTTGAATTTCGTTTTCGACCTATTGTGTCGGTCGGCTCTTCCACGGTTCGCTTTATGAAAACGTACCTTCTCTAGTTCGTCTGCTTCCACTCTCCTGGTCTAGTTCAACCCTCTGCTTCGTACCGTCTACCATGTCCCACTAATTGTCTTGCGCGTTTCCTCGATTGATTACGTAAGCTCTTGACTTTCGACCCACCTTTCTGTCGTTCTTTCCCTGGGCACACTATTTACATCTTCTTTCGCGTTCTCTATACCCTATATTCTCATGCTTTCCCATCGTCCTCATCCACTTCATACGGTACCATCACTTCCGTTTCTTTATCTCCCTTTTCGTCAGTTCTCTTTAGCATCGCCAACTTCAACTATCTGATCACACAACCCTTCTAGATTCACCACCGCCTTCGTCGCTGCAACAGACAGCCAAAATGCGTCTCTTCTGGCAGCCTCGTTGCCGGCAACTTGAACTCGCCGTTGGCTCGGCTCCTCGTCTGCTGACTGTCTATCCCTGAAGTTCAACACGATCTCGCATACTACGAAACCGCGCTATAACTTTGAACGAGCTTGGCCAGGAGGTGGTGGTAGCGTGCGTGGTCGGGAATATCAATGATGGGTCAGACGCGGTGACGATAGGAGAGGATCGCCAGGGAGGCTATTCGTGGTAAGTACGTTTTCTTCAGCCCAATGCCCGCTCTCTGACGGTGGTTCCTTTTCTTGCAGATATTGCCTACCGACTCGGAGAGCGCGGTCAAGTCTGCAACATCCACCTATGTAGTCTCGCACTCAGACATCAAATCGGTGAACACGCTGTTTATGTAGAGTAAGCCCTCGATGGTTCGTCATCTACCGCCCTCCCTTTCTCATCCGACTCGAGTGTCCGTCTCCTTCTTCCGTTCCCAGAGCTTGGTGCTCATTTGTTGCTCTGCACCCATTTTTTCATCACATTCATCGACTATCGCCCTTATTTCTGCCTCATTTACTTTTCTGTTTTTCTCTGATCACGTCTGTTATTTACTCCGTTGTGATAGTCATGCCCCCGTCGCCGCCCATCTTCTGCCTATTCGTACCCTACAGCGCGAGCCGAACCCTGGCCGGTCTTCTCTTTCCAGAGTTACTTCGACGAATCGAAGGAGTCCGCTACTTCGAATGCCAGTGTCGCCCCTCTTGGCTTGATTTCTTTTGTGCGTTCTTCGAGCGAGGACAGCCGCGTTATGTTCAAGTTACTTTGGCATCTTACATATCTCGTTCATTTTCCGCCCCCAAGTCTCCTCGGCGGCTTTTCTTCGTCTCGCCCTCTGCTCTACCGCCGACACTCTTTAAATATACTGCATCGAGGACTGACTTGCTAGAGGGTATCAACTGGGCGCATTGATCAGCAAGTCTTCCTCTCCTGTTGGTCGATATGAACGTAGAGTACTTGCCGTCGTTCTAGCGATGTATGCTGGTGCTCCTCTTCCTGTCCAACGGATTAATAACAACAGCCCTCTAGTAGTCCGTCTGGCTACGCCCTACGTCGGCCAACACAATCTAATCATGCATCTAAGTCTATGTAAGTACGCTGTCGGGTCGACGATTAAGACGTACAGCGCGAAGCTGAGTTAGAGAGCCGAGATGGAAGCACAGGTCGGCCAGCGTTCCTCTCATCGAGCACACGGAACTCGCACTCAACCCAGTTTCTATGCAGGGAATGAATGCGGACGATTCACTTAGAAAGTGGCGGAAGAGAAGGGCCGACAGGGTTGGCGAGTACGGAGGATGAGTGCTTCTGGACGGAAAGCAGAAGATGAATGACATTCGTATCGCCTTTCGATAAGTACTACGAATGCTTGCCTTTATTCGTAGCACTCAAATAAAACGCCGAAAAGTCAGAAAGTCGGCATCAGCACTTACGTCTAATAAATCGAACATGTAGCGTTAACGAGCACGATGACAAGCGTTCAGCTCAGCCGCCGTTCGTCAGCAACCTGCGATAAGACCTATGGATCGGAGACCACCCTTGGTTAGAAGAGGCAACGTATGCGAGAAGGAAGGAGGGCGACGTACCTATACCTCCAACGTGACCGGATGCATACCCTCTACCTCCATCTCCACCTCTGACTCTCCCGGCCGCCTTCTTGGCCTCCAAGTCCTTGGATTCTTGAAGTTTTCAACCAGCATTTCGGTCGTTCGTATCCAAAAAGGCAAGAACGCATCGCCATCGCATTAACCAGTACCGAAACACATTAACCAAATGCCCCTCGCCCCTCGTGCGCGTATTCCAAGAATAAGTTAGCAATGTACAGCCGCGGTGCGACCACTACTCGTCCTTCTTCCCAGCACGCTTCTCCACCTCTGCAATCGCCGCGGCGTCCGTTTGGGGTTCAGATGCAGCCACTAATACGAACAACGAAAAGAAATCAGCGGCCAAAGATATACGAAAATCATCTAAAGAACACGTACTCCCAAACATGCCCCCTCCTGCCTTGAACGGACGCTGTAAATCTCCAGTAGCCGGCTTCCCGAGGATGTGTATCGATACGAGCTTCGCGTAGTAGAGGCCCTTGATGCCCATTAGCGACTGGATAAAGAGAGGTTGGGTGAACTTGAAGTAGAGGTGCATGACGAGCATCATCGCGATGCCGGTGTATGTTGAGCGGAGCTGGGGTGGTTGGGAAGGAGAGGAATTAGAAAAAACGGCGGATATGAAGGTAGAGACGGAGACACACGAGCTTAGACGTCTCGGAGAGGTCGTAGTCGCGGACAGTGGTCGTGACGAGTTTGCCAGGTTCCTGTGTCTGTGATCGAAGGTGTGAGGCCGCTGAGGTGAACTAAGGTCGGAAATTGCCAACCATGGGTGCTGGTGGTTCCACTGCGACGAGGATTAGTGACGCAAGACGAAGGATTCAACAAGCCACGCACCATATTTGAGCACCGTCTGGTCGTTCTTTCTCTTTATCTGCAAGCTCACGACCGTCATTACGTCGCATAGAGGCGAATTTTCACACAACGCACGGTCGAGGAGACGTAGTAGTAGGCGCCGAGGATGATGATCTGCACGACCACGTAGCCCGCACGAACCAGGTTCAGCGTGTCCGGGTCGTCAAAAGGAATCCGACGGGCGACTAGAGTTCCCTTTCGTAAGCAAAAGACCAACCTCGAAGAATCTGGAACGCACCTTGCATAGCGGTTAGCGAGATGACGAGATTTTGGACGGCAGCCATCTCTAGGAAATAGTACTGGTCGCTGTGGTGCCAGGTGGAAAGAGGAGAAAGTCGAACGCGTGTTCGAAAACACTCACGTGAAAACTCCAGACACCCGGGCCGCCATGTCCGCTTCAACATACCTCATCTATACGAGGTCGACTCTCGTGTTACTTACTTACTAGTAAACGTGGAAGATAGTCCGGCAACATCGTATAGACCTAAAGTAACTGTACGTACGTGTATCCTAGAGTACATACTCTACTTGTCGTCTAGCGGCTAACGGAGTTGTCAGTCCGCCAGAATCTACGTATAATCCATGTCGAACCCAGAACCCAGAACCCAGAACCCGGAACCCTATTGCGGACCCTCCCCTCCACCGACTCCACCGACGACGAACCGTCCAAAAACCGCCTCGCCCACGCCCAAGCCCAGGATGATGGAGAGGATGTACCCAGCGTTGTACGTCCTGGGGTGCAAAACCAGTCATCAATAACAAAGTCACGGTGACAGAGGACGGGGATTAAATAAATAAAGTACGTACATGACGACCAGCATGAATGCGAAGCCTAGCGCCGCCTGGAGTGCGTGGATCGCACCCCGGGCGAGAGTGTATGTGAGGATGAACGGGGGTGCACTAGTGGGAGTGCCGATGAGGATGTTGAAGGTCGGCGTTTTGTCCGCAGCCGCGCGCGTAGCGCTGGAGGAGGACGAGGAGGAGGACGAAGCAGTGGTATGTAGGATGTAGGTCTTCTCGAGTGCGTTTGGGCTGGCGGACGGAGCGTCGCCTCGCAGGACTCGGACGTGGGCTCTATGAAAGAGAGGGGGAGGGTTTAGTGAGATCGAGAGACGTGTGCATCACGACTACTAGAGTAGAGTATGCAGAGGGACGCACCGGTACCTCCAGAATGCCTCCGCGCGTGCCCTCATCGCCGCGACCCACCTCTCCATAATCGCCAATACGAACAGCCCAATACACGTCCCGACGATCGCGCCTGCGCTGCGCGGGACCCAGCCTAGGAAGAAGATCGTGTCTACCCCCGGGGTGAAGTGGAGGTAGGGCACCATTGATGCGTGTGCAGAGCTGGCGGAGGCGGGGGTAGGGGCGACAACAGCGGCACCGGAGGAGGAGGAGGAGGGGGAGTCCCCATGGGCGAGTGCGACGGGGAGGAACGCTACAGCTACTACAGACAACGACAACGAAAGGACCAGCCTGGTGACGTGGAGGAAACGAGGGAGGGTGGAGGACATGCCGGTATGGGTATGGTACGTCGACTTGAATGGGGTACCGGTCGGGAGAGGTGTAGAGTAGAGTATGTGGGCAGCCTCGAGCGACGAACGAGTGACGATGGGCACTGTCAAAGTGCGGCTTGCTAGCTTGAAAGAGGGCGCCACTACTGGCATGCACCGCCTACATATTTAAGTTGCGAAGGAGTGTGCCGAAAAGGCCGCGAGATGATGTGAAATGAATGCAAGTCCGAAGAAGTCGAGGGGAGGAACTAGGCAACAGTCGATCGATAGCCAAGAGTGATGAATTCGAAGGAAAGCAATTGAAGCATAACTTGCGACGAGTGACGAGTGTATGGACGTAAGTAGTATACGTTGGCCGCCCTTGATGCGACATGCGACAGAGGGTCGGAAAGGTCGAGTTCGACAAGATACGATAAGATAAGATAATACACCGAGGAGATCAGCGATGACGTATGCCTCAAGCGCCCCGTGCCTCGAGACGAGTCCCTGCGTTTCGACGACTCTGAGCCCCGTCTCTCGCCTGTTCCTTCCTCCGCCCATCCCGCGCTCCATTCATTTCTCCGCCTCCCCCGCCACCTACCCTCGCGAACGCTCAAGCTCCTCCAGCCGCACCACGTACTGTCATGTCCGTCGTCGATTCGTCATCGACATCCGCTGTCCGGACCCCATCCTCTCCTGGGGTGTGTTCTGCCCATCAACCCCATCTCGAAGATCCAGAGACACAGGACTCAATCGAGCCCCGGCTCGTGCAATGCCAGTGAGAAGACGACTCGGCGAGGCGAGGGCTCTGAAGACGTTCGCCCGCCGTGGAAGGATGGTGTAGAATGGAGGTGAGGTGTGTGTGTTTGATACGTTCACGAGAGAGATTTGAGACTATTGATAGTTCTTGCTCAGGGTGCGAGCGTACCGTCTTGGTGTCTCTGCTGCCTACCGACCCTTAAGTGATGAAGACATAGATTGGGCCCACAATATAGACGACATGGAGAAGCTATCGGCATGGCGTTTGCGGGATAGTCGACTTCCCACTAATGTCGAAGTTTTCGACTTCAACGCCCCCTTCTAAGTCTCCTCTTCGCGTATTAAGATGGTTTTGCTGGCTAAACTACGAAAGCTCGAAGGCTCTGTGGGATCTGCCGTTGGGGTCGTTGACGAAGAGTATCCCGAAGGAGCAGAAGGAGCGGAAAGCTAGCCGATGATCTGGTGAATCCTAGGTGCAGGTGCATACTCGAAACATTCGTACTCATTGTAAATGCAACGTTGATTGAACCTTTCTCCCTCAGGATTTTCTGGCTCATTATCCTCCCTCCATCTCTGACAGCGCTTGCTTCGGGAGTTCTCCACTATCACTCAACTTGATGCGAATTAGGCCTCTCCTCGACAGACTCTGAACAGGCTGATGGGTAAGCGCCGACGCCATTTAATTATCTACCTGTGCCTCGAAGACGACTCGCTGGGCTGTAGCGAGTCGGACGAATAGAGGAGAATCGAGTCGCGGCCGGGGTAGGTTCAGGTCCTTTCATCATCGTGTCAATTTCTTTAGGTCATCCGTGGCTAACTCTTGTTACTTCGGTCCTTCTGCGCCAATTTGGATTCTAAGTGCACGTATACATCAGTCCAAAGGCTTCTGGCGACGTGGGACGGTTTGTCTGTTTGTTTTCATTGTGATGACAGGTCGAAGAGGAGAGGAGAGGGATGGGGTGACTTGCTAGTTTGACAAAGTAGGGCGCTCGTCTGCGTGTACAGCGCCTGGTACGTATTTCAGGTGAGGGGTTCGTTGTGGGTATATTAAGCGTTACTGATACGATAACTTCATAGTGACTACAGGTCCCCATGGACGGCATCCAAGCCTGTACCACCTTACTCAGGCTGTTGGAGTAGGGAGGGAGGGTTGAGAGCGTCAAAGATGGGGGCAGGCTGGTCAAACGTTGCGAGGATGGGATGGGATGGGATGGGATGGAAGGTGTGTCAATTCCTCGATCTCGTAGTTCTTCTGTTGTTCTGATTCTAAATGCACGAGAAGACGGTCAGCTTAATCTCTCGACCTTGTCCGTGAGTTGCGACTCGCGAGTACGTTGGCTTTTTTTTCTCGTTATTTTTCTTACAATTAGACGTAGAACATTGCCTTTGCAAGTACTTGGCCTTCGGCTGAATATTTTGAGAATGCTTGACGCCTCCTCTACGCCGTCGTCGTCTCTCGGCAGTACCGTCGTTTTGTAAGTCCTCTCCTTTTTTGTCCTCTATTTACTATCCAAAAGCTTATGATACTTCCGTAAGTTTCTATTTGAGATGATGTCCTCCCCACTTGAAGGTCGCTTCAACCATCTCTTCTCTCCGAGGTCGGGTTCGCAAGAGCGCGTTCAACCTCTCAGATATGCTGTCCGACGCGGGTCTTCCGTTGGCAGGCTTAACGGTGCTCCAGCAAGCCTCCGCCCTCCCGCCCGCCCGATGCCACCTAACATCGGCCTGAATCCTGATAGCACTCAAACGAACGCATGCACGACGTACGTCACTATGTTCGCGAATCAGGATTATCTTTAGCTCGTCTTCGTGTCGCTTGGACAGATCACGACTCACCGGCTGGGCTGAAATCGTACCGGGTCTTGCAGAAGAAAAAAAAAAAGGGGGCCACAAAAATATCAACGGGTTCGAGTTCGATCGAAGGACTTGGGAACGGGAAGGAGGAAGGGCACCTCCACTCCGACTAGCTTTTAAGTACGCCGTGTTGTCCACTTCTACTGTATTCCTTGAAGTGACGTTAGTCTCAAGTTAGTCTCAAAATACTGGCGGACTGGCCGAGGCAAACGGCCGAATCCCTCATTCTATTTGGACTCGGCTTTTCTGGGCTTTCTGTTTGGCTTGAGAAAGCAAATGAAGGAAGCACCCACTGTCGACCGTTTATCCTTGGTCTCCCTTTGTATTGAACTTAGGTGGGACTTCAGGCTCGACGAACGATATTTGACGCCTTAGGATGCGATGGTAAGCTCATTGTTCTCTCTTCGCTCCTATCAATCGCATATCCTAATTTGTCGTTCAGCCCCTTGGCCTTTCAAGCCGCCGGCCTCCCCGCTATTGAGTGTACGGTTATAACTCATGCTATCCGTTTATCTACAATTTGTGTCTCTCTTTGACGCAGCGCTGCCAAAAGATAAGAAGAGAAAATTGTAATCGACGAGCGGGTCTGGGAGTTGAGAGCAAATAATCTCCGGAAATGTTGCGTGAATGACCTTTACTCCAGGAACTGACGGAAGAGATGGAAGAATCCCTCGCGGAACACACGATGGTCGAGAGCAAAGAGGGCGCGGTCTTCTCGGGGGGCCTTCCATACAAGGCATCCGACGGCCCGAATGTCCCGACGATCCTCCTCTGTTCGTCACCACCATCATCTTCGACCTCGTCTTGCTCTCATTAACGTGCTGCTCCGACGATCCTCCCCGCTCATCCTCAGATCTGCGATGGCTGAAATATGGACGCTCCATAATCCCGATCTCGTCTAAGTACGAAGGATCTTTTCGTTGTTGTTTGCTCGCAACTGGGCAATTCGAACATGCTGGCGCTCGCGCTCAGGATCTCTGGACACTGGATGTTCTCATCGAGGGTACGTGGTCTCTGCTGTCTGAATCAAAAATCATATCATTGATGGTGATCTGTAGTGTCTATAGACCCACTTCGCGTTTAGAACTAACTCAACTTCGGATGGGTCATTCGGCCACTTTGCGCAGACAGACGTGTCGTTTACCACACCCAACCTTAGCCGGGTAGGAGAAGGATTAATCTAGATCGCGTTTGAGGGTAGGATGGTGCTGGACCGCTGAGACGCGTTCTTCAGGTACGTTACACCTTTTCTCGCCCCCGACCCCACCCTGATCACCCTCTTAAACCAGTAGATAACGCACTACCAACATCTATCCCAGAGGTCTTTCGCTCGTCAGCACCTGCTGCGAATGCCAACAGAAGACGCCCTCCTTGCCCGGTGCTGCGGCCTCGTCAACATGATTCGGGATGGACATCGTTGCCATTTCGATACGCTGCACTGCACCATGCACCACCGTTGTATCTATCTCCCGTACGAATATACCACTTTTCAGCCTCATCAACTCGTTTGCCCACTCCCAACCGGATGCTGGCGGTACGATAACGAGAAACAGCAGTCCTATGCCGCCACTATCGCATACCGTTCCGAATTTTCGACGTTGGGCCCTCAAGACGCCTCAAGATTCCACAATCGAATCTCATCGCGAAGAGTACCTGATACTTCGACTGGCGCTGCCGTTTGAGATGAGGAGCTAGCGTACGAATCAGATAGTTTATTGGGCTGGAGTGAGTAATTCTTCTGGCTATACTTTGACACCCCACCTAATGATGTTCGTCAGATGATACTTCCCAGTCCGCATAAGCAGTATCAGGAAATTTGTTGGCGTTGCTGGAGGACCTCTCTGTTGTTTTTTTTGGACGGAATGGGTCCGCAATAATACCCCTTCAAGTTCCAACGAAGCTACACGAGCCTTTCGACCACTTGTTAACGACTAGGTGGCTCCAAGGATATCTAAGCCTGGATCGTTTAAGCCTCACCCTTAGTCAACGGTACCCTCTCCCGGTTGAACGTCCTATCTTCTCGGACTGATGATTTTTTGCCGTTTGGATAGGAGCATTACATCCTCCATAGAACTTCTTTCAATCTGCTGTCATGGATGCCCTGCGTGCCGATTCAGAGGTTGAAGAAAGACGATGCGATTCTGAACGATATAGGGTCGTCTTATGATGATTCGTACCTCGTAACCTGTCGTAAGTACGTCTCGCAGCTTCTCCGATATGGCACTATTCGTAATCGCTCTCGAATCAGCAGATAGTAGGTTGTTTAGTTCGTTGCCAGTACATGCCTTCGCCCGCGAAGAGCCACAAATAACAGCCTGCTGCGCTCGGCACGCCTTATAGCGACTCCTACTATCAATATGCAACATCAATGTCCCTTCCGTCGTGTCCGGACACCCACACCTGCGCCATAGCCATGAAATACTCATAAATTAGCAAACAGCTATATCCTTTTCGTCCCGGCGTTCAATTTTCGAGAGTAAGAGGTTATCGCAAAGTCCACTTCGAGTAACTCTCTGGTTTGTCATCAGTGGTACTTTCTTACAGGACTTGGGGAATGAAGGCGCGATCCGACTCCGGGATGAGGTACTCAAGTGAATTATTAGGACTTGCATTGTCCTTCTACGCTCCTCCTGAAAATTCAGCAGATGCGATCGCTCCTTCAACATGTTGGCGTCTTCATCCTAGACGTATGGGGCCGTTGAGGTTCTGAACCACTTCGTATTTTCAGCACGAGCCTACCTCCGCTTCGTTGAATATCGGGTGAGGGTATGTCAATGGGCACTCCGTACAGTGTATTTCTTTTCCTACGCTGACGTCTATCTTCAGAGCGTAATCCGGACTCATCGTTCCTAGAGGATTGCATCCTGGATCGGCTTGGAGTGACGAGAAACCTCCGGCGCGTTGGCTAGGCGAAAGCGGGGAAATTGGTGTGGGCAGAGCAGCGTATGTCGGATGAAAAGGTGAATGAAAAGGATGTGTAACCCTTCAAAATTATCATTAACAATAAATATTCGTTTCTGTCTCACTCTATCGTTGAAGATTAATCCGCGCACCGTGTTGGGGGTGTTTCATGAATTCAATATACTTGATAAATCCACGGCGTACAGTTATCGATGCAGGAAGAATGCAGGCAGATTAACTCCAAGAATATGCATACGAAACCACAGTAGTGTACATGCAATTATTGAACTTCTGCCTAGTTTGTACCCAACCGACGTCTACCAAAAAGAATCGATATCTGCTACGATGTGAACCAAAGAAACGCCTAAGGGATAGAGGCTAGCAAACACAAACTAAGGCCTAAATGTCTCGATCTACGAGCGAACTTCACCACATGGCTTCGACACGAATCTCCACGTCTCCGAGACCGGAAAGATACTCCAGAATAACATCCTTCAGGAATGCGCTCCTTTCGGCGAGCGTCATATGAAGGACGACGTTCGTAATGGCCTCGACATGCCTCTCCTCCCCCTCCTCCAAGGACCCGCCGACATTGACGGTGGACATCCCAACACCGCGTCTCGCAGCCTCTATGACCAGAACCCGCTCCGTGATCATAAACATGATATCTTCGGCATTTGTGAGGCTGCTGGCCGTCACTTCGAGAGTCTTGAGCGAGGGCAGAAGGTGTCCGTTCCCGAGCTTGCGGAGCGTGGTGGAGTGGACAAACAGGCTGCGCGGAAGGCGGAGAGTGTGAACGTTGGGTATGAACTGAAGCAGGGCTTCGAGCTCCAGGTGCGTGAGTTGACGACCTTCAGGGGTGCGTAGAAGGACGGCGGCATGCCCTTGAGAGTCGACGAGCTCGAGTACTTCCAGCTTCCTTGGGCATAACGCGATGAGTGGGCGGAAGAGAGCGAGGTTCCATCCCTCAATGTTCGCGTTCGTCATTTCAACGCGCAGTTCCTTCAGCCGAGGCGCGAGAACCTGGCAGAAGAAGCCCGCCTCCGTTCCTCCAAGAATAATGATCAACTTTTTCAGCGCCGTCATCCTGACGTTAGGCGGATCCATCAGGGGTCTGAGATATGAAGCTTTGGTTGGTGCGTTAGCGTCCGAATCCAGACGGAAGAATGCCTCTTGCAAGGACATCGCCGTACGATGCATAAGCACGAGGGCGACGTCGGGCGCCAGTGAGATGGGTCTGAGATCGAGAGCGACGAGCTGAGACCATGGGAGGGATAGATCGAGTATCTGGGAAGACAAGACTGTTATGTCGCGCTCTTGGATGTGGTAGACGCTTCCCGAGCGGTCTTCGGCGGACATCGCGTCGACGATGGGCAGTCAGGTATCCGCTGAGAGCGGAGGAAGGATGTGTAGTCAGATGCGATGCAGTATACCGCCAGGAAAGAATGATATGCTCACACAAAAAAAGAAAATCGATGGGACTCCTGGAGCAAGGATGAAGGTGACGGTATAGAGCAAGAAGCTGGGGCGAAACATCACCCTCGTCTTCGTCTATATGTGAAACCTTGAAGCACGCCTAGAGAGGCAAGGGCAAAAATCACCTCAGCGACGCGGTTTATTACTTCCTGCCCTGTCAAAGTAGACTTTCCGGGCGGTGCGCTTATTTTCTGCCCTTGCGCAACAGAGTCGCATAGAGGATGTTTTCCATCCAGTACCAGGCGAGAGTGAGCCGCTCTACGCGCTTTGCATCAGACAGGGATTGTGGAGGATATTTGGAGGGCAACGTACCGAATGTTGGTCCTCCTCAAAGCTCTTGTTCGGGCGCCCATCATCTACAGGTGTGGCCTGCGCACTCAATTAGGAAACTTCCCAGAAATCGATGACGCATGTGCGCTGAATTGAACATATTGGAGGAGCGTTTGCCTATTGTAAATGGTGCCTTCGCCCAAGGATCCACTCGCCGCACAACACTGCCCCATCCACAAGACATGCTGGATTACAACGCGGTTTTCTGTGAAATAGGCGCCAAATTGGTCTTACGATGGTAGTGAGAGCAAGAGAGAACAGAGCCTGCAAATGGAGTTGGAAGCCACATTACGGCCAAGGAAATCAGGAAGAGAGTTTTTCTGCGGAAGATCACGAAAGTGCGTACCTTTCAGGCAGTGCACACGATATTTTTGTCCCAGTCGGCCGATGCAGGGTCGAGCATGCGCGTTGGATGAGAAGAGGCTGATGGCGATTCAGGGGGGCAAATCAGTTTCCGCCCGTTTGAAAGAGTTGAGCTCGTCCGTTTAAAGTCACAACGCAGAAGCAAAGATCACGACAAGGCGTCGGTCAATGTATAGGAGTGAACCAAGTCATTGATTACTCCAGGAATAGAGTACAAAGATGGACAGTCAAGTGGCGGGTGTGGACATAGGAGGAGAAGAGGGAACAGGGGGCATATAACAGCAACTTGAAAGGGATGAAGAAATGAGTTGAAATGTAAAATAGCACAAGAATCATTTGGGACGGAGTCTTGAAAGCGAGGCGGGACGCACAAAGTCGAAGAATAAACAGCTGAGAAGCGTACCATGACAGTGCCGTAGGCGCCTACTCCATCAAGCAACCTTGTTACATCAGCAATTCCTGGTTGGGTTATGAGTGCTATACGAGGGTATGTAGCACTCCGTAGTTAGGGACCATCACGGTAGATAAGAAGATGCATTACAGCGCTATGGCGCGTTACGTAGCGCTGTGTAACGCGCCATAACGCGGTGTAACGCTAAAATCGAGGTCATTTTGACCCTCAAAATTAGGATTTGCTGATGTATCCACCGTCATCCGTGCCCTGGTTGACATACTCAAGCCACTCGTGTTGAGGCATTGACATTTATAACCTGAGTTGCCCTCGCGGAGCCATGACCGCGAGAGAAACGGTAACCCCCGGCTCAGACAATGCTTGCGGCCTCTCGTTGACATGAGGATCAGAAGACCAGGAGGTCGTGTTCACCGTCTCTCACTCCGGAATGGACAAAGGCGGCCTCGGGGCAAAGGAAGCTGATGCCGCCAGATCGGAACGTTCGTGCGAAGGGTAGAACGCCGGGGAGGTGCCCGTCGAGCATAGAAGTAAGGCACAGTGAAGTCGAGGAGAATCGCTGGTATCAGTGCCACGACGGTCGGACATCGGGGCTTAGGAAATACGGCTGGCGGCGCCTGGTGCATCTCGCGACATAAGCCTTGTAGAATTCATCCTCCTGTCCACAAAGATGAAGCCCTGTAGCAATCATAAGTTCCATAACAAAGTTAGCAGGTGAATATCTACCTGAGGTGGATTGGCGGCTGTTGGAAGCTTTTCAACGCAACGACAGGTCTCCTGTTCGGAAAGAGCTTTCTTTCAATGTCGTGCTCTTGGTGACCCGTTAGCCTGTCGCATGAATGAATAAGAAATGGCGTAAAAAACTGTGAGGAACGAACTTGAGGAGAAGGCTGAGAGAAGAAATGACTCACGACTCGGAGAGACAAAAGACCCGGATCATCTTATCCGTCCAGTTTCGCGCGGCTTTATCGGATATCCGGCGGCTCTTGCTGAAATGTTCATTTTATTCCTTCGTCTGCAGGAAGTGCCGATCCTTCGGACTAGGTATACCCGGTGTGCGTCCTTGCGATTCCGCTGGCGGCTCTTGTTCATTGTCCCAGCTAACGTGGCTCCCCCGTGCATGGAGATAAGCCAACACAAGAGCCACTGAGGTCGAAACTTTGCCAGTTCGACATGCAAACACTCGCCGTCCTTCCTAATGTCCCTTCTTGAGAACACATCGCCCAATGATATTCTCCTTGTTTGAGGTTTTCTTCTCTTTGCTCAGTTGTTCTTTCTGGGGTCTAGGATCGATATCTCCGCGTTGACTATTGAAGTCCAGCGCCTCGAGCCGGGGTATCGGATTTACGCTAATCCATTTGTATGTTGGATAATTTTTATGATATACGCGAGCTGGCACCATAATATTCAGCATCTTCAGTGAAGCAGATTCCGACTTCGGACTGTTCGGCCATGCACTCAGGCCAATTTACGCACTTCGTGAGTACCACGAGAGATATTTATGCGGTGTATACATGGTTTTGGTCATTTAGAGTGAAGCGACAAGTACTAACAAAGGTAGTCTACAAAAACTAATGGGTCATCGAGACGAAGAAATGGAAATGAAGGTGATTGAATGTTAGCAGCACTTGCTACTCTATCGTGACGCTAGAAATTGGGGCCTGAGCTTGAGCACAGTGAAAGAAACAATCGAAATATTTCTCACATACGTTTGGGGGCCCAACTTTGAAGGATAGACGCGTTCCCGGACCCGCAAATATATTCCATCGGCATGCCTGTGCTAGAGGTCCAACAAACCTTTAGCCCGTTGATTTCGTCCAACGCGGCCATCGAGACGAGGTCCTGGCACTTCGTGAAGTCGAAGACGGCTACTGGATGCCCAATCCGGGAACGCCAGGTGAGGAACGACTTGCACAATTTCTCGGCACGTGGGTCCGGAGCCTTTATCCAAACCGGTATGCTGAGGTTGCGAAGGCGGACGTGGGCGAGTTTTGGAAATGGGATCGCACTGGAGGTGGTGATAACGCAGTCGCGCCTCAGGGCTGCTAGGGACTGGATGGTAGTATTCAGCGTGGCGACGTTGGGAAGAGAAAGAAGGAAGGTCTGGACATGTGGATTAGAGAAGACCTTGGACTCGAGCTCCAAATTGAGTACGGTGACTTGGTTGAGGCGATGCGGTAGATAAATGCTAAGGACGAAGAAAAAATCTTGTGATCCCTCGGTGTCGACAGTATTCGAAATGTCGACGCTGAGAGTGTCATGTCTCGGCCACCGCTTCGAATGCTGATCGAGGAAGACGTGATATCGGCGCAGGTTGAGGCTGAGTGTGTCACGATCGGCGTTGATTGCAAGCCACCTCTTCGCATATGTCAAGAGTACCTTCTCGACGGATGTCCTACAGGCCTCGGAGATGGTCGTTCTCCAATTACTCTCCCACGTCCAGATAGACGCTCGCGTGGCGCAGCCAACAGCTGGAATGATGTGAGTAAGCAAAGAGGAGAGGGTGACGTAGTCGGACGTGAAAACGCTAAGGGAACAAAGGGATAGGAGCCGGGCAGTAGGAAGTGTTGTTTGTAGTTCCTCTTCAGTAATTGCGAGCGGGGGTACGAAGCTGAGGGATTTCAGACAGGTCATATTCTTCAATGCATCCAGCAACATTGAGACCGTAATGGCACTTCCAGTCTTGCTTGTTACTTGAGTGCCTAATGAAAGATGTTGTAATTGAGAAACCCAAGCAACGCTCAGGTTGACGTCTTCCCAAAATGGGCTTGAAAACGATGTTAGTAGAGGCGCTTTTCCAGAGAAAAGGCCGGGGAGACGACGGAGAAATGGTGTGTACTGATTTCCCGAGTAGGTGATGAGCCTGAAGGTGAAGTACTTGAGAGTGATGGAAGGGCGGTATAAAGTATCCCAGACAGCTGAAGGTGCGCTGACGAGTGCTTCCCTAACTTCGAGCTTAAGGCTCTGGATCTGCGGCCAAATTCGGTCCAACGCCATCATCCCCTCCCGCATTTCCGGTTCGTCACGGTAGACCCCTGCCGTTACTGAGAGGGGTAGACCTCCAGCGCACTGCAGAACTTCATGCACGCCCTCAGGAGTTAAGGTTGAAATATCCACTACTGATGCCCACAAAGATGGCGATCCTAGTGCCAACGCTCGCCAAGAGCGGCAGACCTGTGAACTCGCCAATGTCGTGCGGATGGCTTCCTCTGAGGAAAGTAAGTCCCAATCAGTGTTCAGGTTGAAAATGGCCCAAAGTATCTCGCCGTGCAGTCTCTGGATAGGCGTATCCGCATCGATCAGTAGAGAGTCTGCCACGATGAAAAGTACAATAAAGAGGACTAGAATGATGGATCTGGAGTGCGTACCTTCGGGCTTGGAACATATCTGTAGGTCTGTTCTCACCATTTCCCCTCGATTTCCTGAAGGACGAGAAATTTCGATGATTGATGACGGAGTTAGGAAAGATTGAAGAGCCTTTGTTGACGCGGACAGGGTTTCGTCTCATCAGTTATGGTATTTCTTTCGATTAGGCTTGATATGGGCTTGATTTGGTATGTATTCGCGAATTTTGAGATTACTTCACGCACCAGCAGGAACCGTTTTCGATGGTGAATAGAATCTACACAAGTTCGGTGGATTAATTCAATAACTGAAATAGCGAGCGGTCGCAGTAGTATTCACCAAAGCATCACCCAAGCCAAGCATATTCTTGGAACGAATGTGGACTTTATCATACTCTCGATTCGATTACCTCAGTCTTTCCAATTCTCGGAGCGCTCAGATAGACCGACTTTGCTGCGGTCAGAAACGAGATCGTGTCTCGGAGAGAGTAAGATTCTTTCACTCATTAACGAGAAGCAGAAAGTGTAGCACTACTCAGTTTCCCTCTCACCTCGCGTTCCTCACTTCTACTCGATTCCTCGAAGTGGACCTACCCGCTAGTGTAGACGACCTCGCCGTCAATCCGAGTTCATCTTGGACAGTGCTCACTTTGGTCTCCTTCAAGCTGCGCTATACATACAAAGGTGAGATGCCGATTCCTTTGGCCTAGGTCTCGGTGTACGTCAAGCCCAGAACAAAGGCTTAAAGGGATCAATGAACCCCTCCTGGAGCCCATGTTCCGAACGAACTTCTTCCGCGACGTAGTTCCGCGAAGGAGGGGAGAGTAGCAACTGTTGGAGAAGTATAGGATGGGACTAGAAACGAGTTCCTGAACGGGTTCCTTGCCTTAGGGAAGCGTGGATCGAGGCGTCAAGCTGCCAGATTGTCATGTCAAATATTCGTCGATGGCTCAGAGAACGCCAAGTGAAGAGGGTAGGCGCGAAAACGAAAGGTGTCTCTCAACTCAAGCTTGTGGCTTGACGACAAAGCCCAACGCGGATGGCGAATAGCTGGGGACGAACGGGGTCGAGATGCTCAAGCTCTATGAAACCATCGATCTCCAGGGCAAACGGGCTGCTGGATCAATGGGTTGCAGGTTGATGAATTCGACCCAATGGATCGAGCTCTCCAGGTTTCAAGGGGATGGGTAGATGGGAGGGATTCAGAGAAGGAAGGACCAATGAGGGGTTGAACGCAGAGCCTAGAGGGTTCGATTCGGAGTGGCTCTAGAGAATTCGAACAGAAGGGCACGTCGGCATACGGGATGACAGGCTCCAGCTGCGGTCATGGAGGATGATACGAAGGAACGGCATGTCGTCGGAGCAGGACGGAAGAAGGAAAAAAAATGATGTTCATGGCTTTTTACGAGGAGCGCCTATGAGATGGGACCGAGGCCATGAGTTGTCGTGGCATCTTGATGTATAGAATATTCCCTTCATAAGACAAAGGAGGTTCCATACTCATGACGAGGTCTCAAGATCTCAGTCTTAGTAATAGTAACCACAGGGCACATTCAAGCCGTGCGTTACTTGCGAGTCGCGTCAGCGTGCGACAAGCGCTTTCCAAGTACAGGAGCGCATTTGCGTTCTGTCTCTGGAACGCGCTGTCTCGGCTATGATAGAAGGCGGCCAACACAGAGGAAGGTTCTAAGTACCGCTGGATTGACTGTGCCGTCATCACGTTCGATACCAGAACCCAACTCCAGAGTCGGAACGCGATCCTGATCTTAGAGCAGAAAGAAAGGCGCGCTGGACTGGAGGTAGCTCATGCGACAATTGAGAAGGACGAAGCTACATCTATGCCATTAGATGCGCCGCCCTCCTAGCAAATGCGCCGAGAGCAGCTGGCACATCGTTGTGAAGGTCTGTTATGGGGGAAGGAGCAGGGACGCCGGGATTGAGGGTGGGGGGAGGGGACCGGAGCACCGAGAGGACGGCAGCTCGACAGGGCAACGAGACGGGGGTGGGGGAAAGGGAACCAACGGGAGGGGGATGGGGACCAACGGGCCGACGACACGGGGGAAGGGGACGGGGGGAGAGACGGAGACGGAGGAGGCCGGGACTGAGAGGAGGGGGACGGAGACGGGGGGCGAGGAGAGTGAGGGCCTGGATGGTGGGGGAAAGGAAGAAAGGAGGATGGGCGACCAAAAAAATGAGGCGCGGTATTTATGCAAAACGCGCAGACGCGTCGAGAGGGCACGGACCATGTACGCGAAGCAGCGTGACCGCGTGATCCCCTCGGATCGGGGTAAGATCGGGCATAACACCTCGGACTTACACAGATAAGCCAAGATAAGATAAGGATAAGGGTTGCGATCAGAGATAGCGGCATTCTCCGTCGCCCAGGGTCGCTTTCGGCATCGTGGGCATCTCGACACGGACGAACATGTCGTTGACGATACCTACCACCACGTCGCTCACGAATCGCCCTTTCTTACCAACCCAACACCTCACATTTAGACGCGTCCGGACTGTGGGGCTGTTCCGACTCCGACTGGCGTCGTACGCTTTGTTTTTGGGGGTGATTCTCCCAATCACAGCAGGGACAATCAACGTGCCAGGGGAGGCGACGCTGGCGACACGATGATTTGTCGGCGAGCTCGCAGGTATGAGGATTCTGCCTACGATCGACCATCATTTGTATCTAGTAGGCCTTTCTAGGGAGACTAGATTTCGCCCTTTCCATACGTCAACGTCATTGCTCCTCGTAGCCCCCGTAGACCTATTCCTCCTCACCACCTCAGACGAAAAATTTCCCCTCGATTCAAGTACTCGAGTCGTCGGTAAAATGTTACAAAATGCTAATTTATGTAGCGTACACGAAAAGTTGTTTTCTCTGACACGCAAATTAAATAAATTGAATTGTAGCAGGAAGGACGGTACACCTGTCGAGCTCAGGGTGCCGAGTACTATCCTCTGATACCTCGTTCGGAAAATACGAACCTCTTTCTGTGATTAGCAGACGTCGACATCAATTGACAATGATTGTCTTCTGTCCAACCAACGATCTTTCCTCTCAAACAAAAGTTCAGCCAGGAAACGTACTCTGCGGAACGCTGACACAATTGTAATGATATCATTTGACGATTTTTAATTGGCGCTCTGGTCTCGGAATCGGAATCGGAGGCTGGGCCTGAGCGCGGGATGGTGCTGGGGTCCGGCGGAGGCTGAGTAGAACTCAAGGAGACGCTACGTTGCCAAATTTCAAGTCCAACCCAGGGTCCGGAACAGAGGACTGAGTTCGACGGGGAAACTCTGCTCGACGAAGATCCACCGGTGGAGATAAGAACAGGTTATCAGATAACCGCCTGACAAGATTTCTTCCTCTCCCTTCCATCGCTCGTTCACGGCAGGAGAGAATTGAAAGAGAAGCGAAAGAAGTTCAAGGAACATAGCACAATCGCATACACTCGACAATAAGCACCGGGTCGACGCAGAGAAGGTGGGCCGTCGAGGTGAAGCCGGATAGTGGCACACTCCCACTTATCCGTTGGTCAGCTTTTCATCCACCCTCGTTCAATTTCTCCTTGGTCCACTGTGTCAGTTGTGGCTCGTTTCAAAGTTTGTGATACTCCGCATTCGAAGCCCTTAGCCCTCATTAGGCCAGCGCCGGGCGGAAAGCCTTGAGCGGCTCTCTCTACTTCCTCAATGAATGCATGGAGACCGGACGCTTACATCCATCTTGAGGTCGTTTTATGGTGACGGGAGAATTGCAGGTGTGCGGCCCAAAGTGTAGCTGTGCCGACGAGGCCGAACCCGCTCCCACGCCCCTGAGTCAAAGATACATTTAGAGCGGGCAAACTTTCGTTTCTTCCTTTCCCTTCCTCCCTTCCTATCGGTTCTCTCGTGCTATTTGGAGCGCGTTCCCTTGCGGAACTTCCTAGTATTAATTATGAACCTCCTCGAATGTCTCTTCTTCTTGGTCATGATGGGGCAGCAGAACGTCGCCACTATGACAGCCATGAGAGTCAATCGCAGAATCGTCGCATAAATGGGGGTTCCAACCCCCACCTGCTCCTTGACCATCGCCTTGTCGATCCCCCACGGCTGCATGAACGATGATCCTCGTAGCCGGTACAGAACACGTCTTTGGATGATAGTTGGAAGGTGAATCTCTCATACTGCTGTCTACGCCCATATACGTTGTTGCTGAGCGTCGAAATCCAGATAATTTTTGTATTCCCAGTCTATACACCATCTCCTCGCCGTAAACGTCAACGCCGACCTGAACGAACTTACAATGACCTTCGAACTCCCCTTCTATCCATACCCAATAACAATTTACGACCTCCCCCCCGAGCTCCTCATTCACATATTCAGATTCTGTGTCCCCTGCGACATTTACTCCTTTACAACCGCAACAAAACGACCCACACCCGTCCTCCAACCCCTCTCTCTCGCAGGCGTCTGTCGCCCGTGGCGCAACCTCATCATCCAAAGCCCGCACCTCTGGTCCCACCTCCAGCTGAAGGTCAACGCCCGGGGGCAGGTACCCTTCGTCCGCGCGTGGCTCGCCCGAGCTCAGAAAACGCCGCTCTCCATCTCGCTGTACTACGATGTCGAGGATAGGATTGCGATGTACTTTATTTTCGAAGAGGTGGTGGGCCTTGTGAGCGAGGCTTCGAGCAGATGGGTGGAGCTGAACGTACGCGTGCCGGATTACTTCCTCTTCCTCCTCTTCGGGGATTGCACCTCAATGAGCGGGGCGAAGCTCGACGTCCTCAGAATACACAAGGCTAATTTCGTGTGGGAGAACCCAGTGTCTTGCACGCCCTTCCGACTCCTTGGCGGTCTGCCTGCACCGAGGACTCTGGCCTTGCAGGGTATGAGCCTGGATCGGGTCGTGGTAGGGTGGAAAAACCTCACTCGTGTGAGCGCGGAGGGCGTCGCGCTCGGCGAGTGTCTCAAGGCCCTCCACCAGGCTCCAAAATTGGAGGAATGCACATTCGTAAACATCAACCCGGGTCACGTCAACGACGAGGTGGGGTATCCTACTTCTATCATCACTCACCCACACCTCCACACCCTACGCATCGAGAACACCTTCGTAGGCGACGCTCTCCTGCGCCGCCTCTACCTCCCCTCTCTTCAAGCCTTCTCTTACATCCCTATCTCGAACCCATTCCATGGCTACTCCCATCCCTTTGCGTTTGCGACTCCTCTCTCCGACTTCTCCACGCTCGAGACGCTCACCCTACGCAGCCGCTGCGTACTCCAGAGGCTCTCCGTTCCGGTGTACGTCCCCGCAGAAGCCTTCGCAAGGCTGTTGGACGCCATATGCACGATTAAGGAGCTGGTATTAGACTTCGGGGCGGTACCTCCGGGAGTTGCGCCCCAAGAGAAGTGCTCGAGCTGCTCGTTCCCGGCACGACTGCGAACGCCAGCACGACCAATATGGGAGAGGTGCCAGTGGGGCTGCTGCCCGAGCTCGAGGCACTTGAAGTGCGTTCCAGAGTCATCTCGTTCCCGTGGTTCATCCTACCCCGGCTCTTCCCCATTTCCTCCTCCTCTTCCATTCTCGGGCCCCAATTCGACCCACTCTCGCTCTCACTTAATTCTCCAACTCAGACCAGCACTCAACATCGGACGCTCCGTCGACTACACCTCAAGATCGGCCCCTCCTCCCTCGAGGCCAACGTCAATACATACCCTGAGTGGCCCTCTTTTATCGACCGTTCAGTCCTCGTCAACATCCTACAGCTCCGCGAAGAAGGTGCGGAGGTGAAGGTTAGCGTGTCTGGGAGGGATTGGGTAGCGGATTCGCTGGTGTTTCATGGACTTAGGCTAGGGGTGGCTTCGTATGCGCAGACGGATGTGATCGAGCATGCAGTTGGGAGTGTGCACGGGTATTTTGGCGGAGGAGTGAATGCTGTCAGGTATGTGGCGCATTTGTAGGGCGGCCTGATTTGGGAAAGAGGATGGACGGCGGATGCAGGATGTTCGTATTATTTTTTTTATGCCATCGTACGTTTTCTTCTTTCTTTCTTCCTTTCTTTCGCGTTTGAGGCCATGTTTAGAGTTCCTTCTGTGTGTGCTGGGTACACTTCACAAAATCAACGATATTTTGCTACTCTCAAATTCTTCACGGTCATCATTCGACTGTCGGAACGAACGACCGTCGAGAACCCAAAGCACGCGCAAAAGTGCCATTCGACTCTCTTATTCTAAGCATAATCTTCCTTCAATTATCATTCTTCGCAATTGGACGATTGCGTCAACCTCGCTTCATGGAATCAAGCCTTCGTCGTCTAATACGCTAGAGGCGGATGGGCCAGCTTCAAAGGCCGAGGTACTACTTCTGCAGGTTCTCTCAGCTGCATTGCTCATTTCTGATGCCACCTCCAGAGTCTCCTTTATTCTCGATCTACCCTCGTGGCGAGTGCGCCCGGGCCTCTTCAATTACATACCAAAGTTTCAAATTCACTGCGCTCTCTCAGGTAAAGAATTGTTTTTTTTGCCCTCGTCACGTACTTCAAGGCTGTGTTTCTTGAACCGTTCAATTTGAAAGGTTGGGGCTGACGATTATTTTCTAGCTCGCAACTTCTGCTATGTGACGGCACTGCGATACACCTCCGGCGCCGATTTTATACTGTGACCTTTCACCATACGGGTCTTCCTATATTAACCCACAAAGGATGGCTGTCGAGGATTGTGTGAAGAGTTTTCCTCTCCCTCGGGCCGGGATAATTGAATGTCAAAAATTTTCATTAATTGATTCACTCTTCTAACGTCCTCGAGATGTGTTCGAAGGAGAATATCGCTTCCGCGTCTCCCCATAGTGCCACCCTTTCACCGAACTTCTACCGCTCTGCTTTCGTCGCAGGATAAAGTATTGGAAGAGCTCATTAGTCGCTGGAGAGGTGACATGGCATCTTCCAGCTGGGGTTGAGCGAGGCTGGAGTCGCGATACAATTGCAAGTAAAATGCTATCGGTGCTTTCTCAATCTGCTGCTCCGATGGAACGCGCTGAAGCTCCCCGACTGTAGTCTGTTCACCTACTCTACTCCCCACAGGGTTGATCATACGGTTTTCCCAAGCCTGCCGTTCAGAACCAATACAGGCTCTCTCTACTCTATCTGAACTACGAGTGCAACCAATCACAACTGTGAATGCACTGGTGAAACGAAGATCCTGATTGGGCGCATACGCATGGAGCTTTGCTTTTGACCTCCGACGCAGATCTAATCTTGCTTCCACACCCAAGTCCGGCGTCGGCTCCTGACGAGTTCCTTTCTTGATTACACCGAAGTCCCGTGAGCCCACACATCAGTGGTCCGTTTCCTATGTAAAGCGACCTATTCATAATGCGAGCTGCCATATCTTGTTCTCCAACTCCCAACTGGTATGTCCCTCTCTCCTCCTTACATCCGTATGCTCATCATTCCGTTTTCGCCAAGGATTTCAATCGAGGATGTCCTCTATTGCCTTGCCCCCAGAGTTGATTGAGACTATCGTCGACGAAATAGGATTGCTCCATGACAGAGGCACGCTTAAGGCCTGCTCACTCGTCTCCCTCGCCTTCGCATTCCCAGCTCAGCGGCACCTCTTCCGAGCAGTCGATCTAGATAACCACATTCCACGCAAGAAGGCATACCAACGCTTCCACCGCCTGCTCGTTGCGAAACCCCACCTCGGGGCATACGTGCGCGAGCTGCGGCTCGGCGACGACTCGGAGGACGACTTCGGGAGCGGGAAGTCGTGGATAGTCCAGGCGAAGACCCTGCCGCGTACGCTCGGTCTCCTACCCAGGCTGGAGGCGTTTACGCTTACGTTCAACGCGGAGCAAACGAACTGGAAGGCGATTCCCGCAGAGACGCGGTCTGCGCTAGGCCACTTGTTCCGCCTGCCCAGCCTACAGGCCGTTTCGCTCGAGTTCATCAAGGCCTTCCCGCCGCAGCTCCTTCTTTCTCTCACACGCCTCAAGCACCTTTCACTTTCGTGTGTCGAAACGGACATGTCGACGCCCCTTGCCACATACATCCACACACGTTGGGAATCCAATTTACAGTCGTTGTTCCTAAGGGGAACTTCCCCTCCCACCGTCGAGATGATTGGACAGGCACTCGCCAGCTCACCGCCCCACTCCCTTCGTAGGCTGGCTATCACGCCTACCTTCGAGCACGGGTTCAGCGACGCCGTAAGCGACTTGATAAAGACAGGCGGGTCGTGCTTGACTGCCTTCGAATGGCTGCCTTCGATCCATTTCTGTGCGTCTATCTTTACCTTTTCGCCTCCGGTTCGCCCTATCTCACGACGTTTTTAAATATACCGCTCCGACAGCCTCATCTGCGGGTTCGATTGACCTGGGCCTGCTCCCCCAGCTCCGTCTCCTACGTTTCGTTGTCAGTTTCAGGAAGACATATGCCCAAGGCCCATTCCCCGAAGTCGTTCGCCTCCTGTCCCAACTCGTTGCCCCACAAACCGTTAATTCCACCGCGAATATCGTCGAAAGTGTCACGATAGACGTGCACTGTGTCAGGAACGTCGATGGAAACAAACTCCAGACCGAGTGGAAGCCGATTGACAAGGTCCTCACCAAGCCGGCCTTTCGACGGTTGAAGGAAGTTAAAGTTCGGTTGAGCACCAGCACGAGTTCCAGTGCAGATCGCCACAAATTTACGCTCGCCTTCCAGGATATTTTGCCGAGGTTGCAGGCAAAGGGCGTTCTCCTCTCTGTCACAAATTACCATGAAGTCGAAGATGCGAAAGCATTGCTCGATGGGCTTGAAGGGTTGTAAATCCACCAAATTCTATACTTACTGTACTCCCTCTAACTCGTATTTTTGTATTCGTATTACCATCTCTCGCTATCGTAAGCGGCCCTTGAAACCTTCCCATACTTCATCTCTCAAGATCTCAAGTTTAACGGCAACTCGAAACTAATCGGTCTTAACGCTCCACATGAGAAGGCGTTCAAACAGTCCAGATGATTTACAGTTACCATTAATCTTCCTATTCGACACACCAAAAGACCGAAAAAGTCAGACGTATGTACGTGGAGAGAGAGCTGTATCAGGAAATTAGGACGGTGCCCTAGTCTATGTTAATGGATGGGACGGGTTTAAAGCACGAAGCAAAAGGAAAAGGTTACCAAAACAACAGATGGAAGTAGGGCTCGGACCGCCAAAAAGGACGGTTCGTCACGGTGTGACGCGGACGCCCCAAACGAGCGAGCCGCGTTGCCGACCCGTGGGGGCTCAGCCCACGGCGGGCACGAGGTGGGCGCGAGACGGGCTGGCTCCCCGCTTAGCGTCCCATCACTCAAACCAAGGCCGCGTGGGCCTGATATGGTGCGCGAGCGCTGAGTGTGCGCATCGCCGAGGGGAAATGAGGAAAGGAAGGGGAGAAGAATAAGGAAGGAATAGAAAATGTAAATAACTTACCTAAATTTTGATACCATATTGACAATGAAGGGGTGCATTGTGCTGTTCTTGAAATGGGGTGTGTTGGTGGGAGAGGAAGAGAGGAAAGCTAGGATGACTTGATGTGTATAGATATTGTGTCCTTGACGCGCACGCAACGCGTGCGTTGTAATTTACGTACGTTGATCCGAACTGGGAGCCTGAGCCAACGAGGTGAGCTGCCATGCCAGTGTGACACTTGCAGGGAAGCCGCTCGAAAAACCGTCTTTGATGAACTGGCCATCAATTTCCGAAGCCGTCATGGGCCACAAAAAGGACGGTTGGTCAAAAAAAGGACAGTCGGGGCACGTCTTTTCATCAAATTTTAACTATATCTGGACTGACAACCAACAGTTCATCAAATAAAAGACGGTCTCCAACCATCAAAAGACAGTTTCGCTAGTCGGATCGTGCATTTATGTATTTACAGAGCGTTCTAAATAAAGCTATTATGTATGTAATTCTAGGCTTCAAGCCCCCTCGGCTGCAGCACGAGCCGCTGTGCGTCGGGCCTTGCTGATGGCAATGCGCTCCTCCTTTGTCTTGTAGGAGTACGTGCAAATAATGTTGCTTGCCTAATATTTATGCCATAGGTGTGATTAGCCTGAGTACCACATATGAAGACTGGGTATTGACGTACCCAACGGAGGACCGCCTCATGGTCTTCTTGGCTTCCTGGTGCGTGTGTTGGCAGTGGCGGTGGGGTGCACGCTGCACGGACAGGAGGGGCCGGGGCTGGGGCGGGTCCCACTTTTTTTGCAGCGCCCTGACGGAAGGCAGGACCATGCCGAGCGCCGAGCGCGTAGCCGCACAGGAACGCGACGACGAGCACGAGCGCGTAGGCGCCCGTGGCAGTGGAGACGCCCATGATAGGGGCCGATCGTCCCAACAGGGACGTGTGCCAGCCGTTGTTGTGCAGGCCGTCGATGGCCCGTGAGACAGCCGGAGGGACTGCCGACCTAGGGAAAAAAAGAAGGGCATGTCAGCATGTGTCAGCCATCCCAGAGCGATAGACGGCGCGGGAGACGAAGGGCCCCGAGACAAACACGCGCAACGCGGGGTGACAGAGGGGAAGACAGTACCCCGGCCCGGACACGCCGGTGGCTGTGCCGAACCGTCCACGAGCCGTGACGGACCAGATCACGTGTGTGATCGGACCGTCGTTCTGCCGAGAGAAGTAATATGGATGCGGCGTGAAGAAAAAGAATGAAAGAGACGGAGAGGTATGCTTGATAGGTATGAAAAAGATGCGCGGGGTAGATGATGACCAAAAAGGGAGGATGTATCACGAAGAACTCGAAACAAAAGGGATGAGCTGAACGAACGGCCGGTAAGAGACATCGTAATGAATACAAGGTTTGGTACAAACAACACGAACCGAACGGATAACTTCTATGCTGGGTATGCTTCCGTCATAACCTTTATCGTCTTTAAAGGCCACGTTCGTTCACGTCCGCCGCTTAGAGCCCGACCCAGAGCCCTTGCCCGCCGAAACCTGTCTCGGTGGTGGCTCAGGATTAGATTGTAGTGCTTGTGCGAGACCCGAAAGCGGGCGTTGCTGTAGGCCATGCGGTTGTTGATGGTGCTGACTCGGTGGCGGCGGCGCGCTCAAGAGCGGCGCTGGATGTTGAACAGGATGTGAAGGGTGCGGTACGACGGGCGAGCCAGCAACGACATCATCAGCGTCCTCGCCGTTCAAGACGCTTTCATCGACAGGCTTCATCGCGTCCCGCTCGCTCTGTTCCTGTGCCGATATCCGTTTCCGCTCCCTCTCAGCCCCACTCGACCTCGACCTCGACCGCGAGCCCTCCTCCTGGGGCCCTAGCGCAGCTTTCCGCCTCGCCTCATCCTCCTTCTCCATCCGCCGTATCACGTCGATCTCGCCCTGGACGACTATGCCCTCCAGCCAGTTGTGATGCGTCAGCTCGCCGGCCTTGGCTCGTTTGTCGGGGTGGAGGCGAAGCATAGGGTTGAGGAATGCTGCCAGCGCATCCGCTTCGGGTTTCGGGAAAAGGTATTTGTCGTGGAGAACGGCCTCGAGTGGCCAGTAACGCAGTTTCGTGATGTGCCGCAGTTCGCCTACATGACAAGAGAGACCCATTAGAGCGGGTTCGACAGAGGGAATTATTGAAAAAAAGTGAGATAGGTCGTGTAGAGCGAAGAAAGAGGTTAAACGATATATTTCAGGATCGTACCTTTCCGATTGAAAAACTCGTGCGAGTACTTGCCCGAAAACGCGATACTCTTCGGAATTTCGCCTAGGAGCTCGATTATCTGAGCGATATGATCATCGTCCTTGCTGTATCTTGATCCCGACGCCGGGTCGAAAAGGTAGTCGCCTCCGGTGATTAGCTCGAACAACTATAGGAGACAAAGGACGTCAGCGGCCGAAAAAGGAAGAAGGTAGAAGACATACTATGCAAGCCACACTCCACAAATCCGAACTTGTTCCCCACTTCGCGCCTAGGATGACTTCCGGACACCGGTATTGCCTCGTCTGGATGTCGTCTGTAAAATGATGCTCGATCCACGTGGCTAAACAGCGAAATTACCAGGCAGGGTAAGTGTTTGCACGGGAAATGAGATAGCACGAGAGAAGCGCACCGTTTCCCAGATCTGCGATCTTGACGGTAATTTTCTCGACTGGGACGTCGAGCAAACTGGACGAAGATTCGTCGGATTGACGATCGATCGACATCACCGAACTTGACACTTCGCCAACTTGGGCGGACCTGCCGCTTTGAGGAACTTGCATTGGTTTCGTAGCTGAAAGCAGTGAAGGTCCTTGTTGCTGTGGCGGAACTCTTCCGACGTACGAGGCAGCGCGAGTATCCAGAGATACGTTTCCAACCTCTGCTGCAAGGTCCGACGAGGTCGCTCGAGGGGCTTTCGCCTCGTCGCCATCGATCTTGCTCATTCCGAACGCCCACTTGTCGAGCATCGGGCTGCTGCCGAAGGAGGACGAGGGGGATGGCAGTGGCTGCGATCCCGTGATGAAGATGGACTCGGATCGGGGGGTCTGGTTCCCACCGCGGCCTTTGGAAGGGGGCACGCCGACGAGCCGCATGGGCGGTGAGCTGGCGCTGGCGGACGACGCTGCGAGCTCGGTTTGGATGATAGATTCGACGTCGTCGATGCAAACAAGGACATTCTCGGGTTTCAGATCTGCCTCACGGTTAGAAAAATCGTGGCGCGATCGAGGAAGAACGTACCGGTATGGATGACACCACAACACCGGTGCATGTAGTCCAATCCCAACAGAATTTGCTTTGCGATTTGCTTTACGAGGTGCATCGGGACGCCCTTGTTCTGATGGCGTTTGATGAGGCCTAGGAGATTCTCGCCCAGGACCTCAAAGACCATGCAGACATGGATGCCATTGGGTCCTTTGTGGCGGAAGTGGTCGAGGAAGGAGATGACATGGGAGCGGCCGGGATGTGTGTGCGCGGGTGAGGGCGGCGGATTCGGATTCGTGTGCGTGGGCGCAACAGGCGGTGTCGACGAGGTGATCAGCCGTTGCAAAAGTTTGATCTCGTCCAGTGCTGTCTCGGTGTAACGTGGGGCAGACTTTACGACCTTGAGCGCAACGTGTCGATTCATTCTACCGGTCCAGGTCAGCGCGTGGTCTCTGGACACATCTAATGACGCACCTTTCATCCTTCGCGAGCCACACGGTCGAAAAATGACCCCAACCCAGCTTCCTTACGACGGTGTAGCGGCCGTCGGAAAATGTGTCGCCAATCTTGACCGGATGATAGCCTCCCTTAACGTAGTCCTCCCAGTCCTCCTCGTCTTCGGTCATGATGGAAGCGGATTGCGAGGAATAGGAACCGTGAGACATGGTTGATAAACGAAAACTGATATATGGCTGCCAGGAATTAGAACAGTGGCTCCGAGATAAGCAAAAACCCAGCCTCACCACGACAGAGATAAGAACTTTACACCCCTTTTGGCAACAATCTAGCGGTCTTTCCCGGCACGAGACACTTTCCCGCCTCCAGTTTCGTCGGTAGAGCAAAGGTAGGCGGGCCTCGCGCGATGCGAGGGCGAAGGTGATGGTTCGAGTTCAAGAGTAGAACGTGCTATTACTGCCTTTTCGCTCAAGAACGCAATTTACTTATACGGAAGTTCATATTCAAAATCATCTTCACATGATTGGCCCTGGACGCGGCCCGGCTCCGGATCTTTCTACCTCTAACCACCATGTACACAACTTTCGTCTTCGAGATACTCGTCCTCGTTGTTGAGCACCACGGTCGTGGACGGTAATCCCCTCAAAATACTGGAATTTTCTTGGCAAGCTGCGCTTTCTGGGAGGATATTAGCCGCTTCGGCAACGCTGCACCGGAACTCGGCCACGTTTCCTCGAAAAGGGACTGCTTTTGCAAAGGATCGGTTGTCTATTAGAGTTCTCCGCTCCGACGTTTTTATCCGCTTTCCGATGTACGCAGCATTTCTGGAAAATGTCGCTTCTCTATTCGCCACTGCTTACCGCTGGCCACTGGGACTTGTGAACTCTTGCTCAGACGACATCTCCTGGAGGTTCTCAGGCGTGCCGTCGACCTCTTACGTCGATTCTATTATTGCGTTCATGGTCCGGGTTACATGGGCGTCATTGCGTGGTAACTAGACTATAACAAAGCAACGCCCAAGTCGCGAATGAAGCCGACGACGGTCTTCTGACGTCAAAAACTCGGGGTCGTACTTAGTTCAGTACGCTCATCTACCCAGCTGGATCATCGTTTACATTTCTCAAACGACGTATATCCAACGGGCAGCCCGCCAATTACCTGATGGTACCTTCAGCACTTCAAGTTATTCCTGCCCTTCCCCTGGTGGCGCTGCGTCGTTTTCATGACGAAAACGCCCAATTTAGTCTCGCGTCACTTCTGCAAGAATCTCGACCCTGCATGGGGCTTATCTCCAGACTTCTGAGCCATATTTGTTACTTCCCCACATCGGACCCCGTACTAACGCACTCGACCTCTCGCTCGGAGTCTCAGAGTCTAGGCCATGATCTTATCTAATCGGTGAGATGCCCCTACTCGCGGGGATTTTTCAATTCATATGTCGTTCTTCAGGCTGACGCGATCTATCTGCGTGGTTGGACGACGATCTTTCATGATGAAGTCCGAGAATAGTTTGGTGGGACGATGAAAGCTTTGTCGCCTTATCAGATGATGATCTCTTCTTCAAACAACGGCTCGACTTGGACAGCTTAGACGAACAGACCAACAATTCAAGTTCTGGCTGATCACTTCCACCTAGCCAGGATCTCGTCATGTCACGTATTTACCGGTAAACGGACTTAGACGGGCATATGAACCGACAGTCGCCCGTCGCTTTTCTTCAAGTTCCTCCGCCGACTCATCGAACGACGACGACCCACCCTCCTTGCCCGACTATATTCAAGCAAAGCAAACCTATCGCCGCACCATCCCGCATTCTCCTCTCTTCGACGACTTCAATTCATTCCAAGCTCGAACTAGAGCACAATAAGGAGTCCAGAACGCACGAACGCTGACGACATGCCTCCAACACGTGTTCGCAGGGCACGCCTATCCAGCACCCCGATTTCTTCCTTTCGCTCGTCATGGCCCCACGGGTAAACTTAGAACGAGAACTTAAAGAAGGCGAAACGGGAGGGTCTTTCTTCCCTTTCCTCTCCGTCACATCCATCGATCGCGAACTGCACTTGTACGTCGTACACGACGAATATACGACCCGCACCTTCTTGATCCTACACTCACTCATCAACGCCACCGAGGTAAGACGGCGAGCTTGATTCACTTACGAACGAAACTCATGGTAATAATCTTCCAATGACTAGCCACTATTATCGTCAGAGTGACTATGAAGCCACCACGAGGCGAAAGCGCACTATAGAGTGGACCTCACTTTCGTGACTCGTTCACTCCGCACACGGTCGTCCATACCTTGCTTTCCACCGCCTTGCATCCTTGCGTCTCGGATTCAACATCTATCCACACCTCCAAACGCCTACCAGCTTCCGCGAGCCTTTATAACTCGGACTTGAGTAAAGCGTCTCGGATCTTCCTCCTCACCGTCGACTACTTGCCCCAACGCTCTTGCTCCGGCCATCCACTCCGCACCGCGACTACCGTTTGACCTAGCTCTTATATTGCCGAACCAACCTGGAAGTAGCCCGAGATGGAGGAAAGTGAGGACCACCCTAGGTACGTACACCAACCTAACGTTAATCTTCCATTTCCCTCGTTCATTTCACTTCATACCCCATGATACCCTAAACACCAACCCTTCACTCGATTATCACATCATCCATTTCATTCTTACTCCATCGATTGGATTCGACCCCACCCAGCTCCGCTCCGTCCTATTCTTCCCGAAACCCCATTGACACCCGGTTATTCGTTGAGACCTCCTTCGCTCTCTCTTTCTCTATATCGTTGGTCTGACTGTCGAGTGTTATAGACCGATATATCGCACACCCACCCGCTCCGCCGCTCGAGTACTCGAAGAAATGGTTGCAGCGGGCGCACTAAGCGGGCCAGGGGACAATCACCGCAACATCCACATCGATGAGCGAACTCTCCACTCTAAACCATCCTCCTCATCTGCCTCGTCTTCGTCCTCGAGCGAACGCCGTTCCTTGAGACGTGCCGGTAAAACTCGCATCGGTCCGAGCGGAAGCACAGATGTCTTTGGGAACGTCGTATGGAACACGGGGCTGGGTGCTGGGACGCCTCTACCGCCGTTTCCTGTGAACTATGGAGTAGGCAGAGCTACCGCGTCGGAAAATCCACCACAATTTCCAGATGTCCCTCCTGTACCTCCTATTCCGCCCCTTCCTCTATTCCCACCTACAACTATGCCCGAGCCGCAGGTGCCGTTCAGCGACGTACCGCCGGTACGAGACGAAAACCCTCTACCTCCCGTTCCACCTTCACCCCCGAATCCACTCCTTGAGCCGCCATCTACACATGTCTATTCGTCGTACGAACAACAACAAGAAGCTCCTGCTGGATACGAACCAGAACGCCCGCCTTCGAGCAGGAAATCGAGAAGACCTTCCGAAAGTCTTCATAGGCGGATATTGGAGGAGGTCGTACGTCAACATCCGGAACAACTGGCGTCCCTATACGCAAACGATCAAGACCACGACCGAAACCATGAACGACACCGCGATCGCCAGGGAGAACATGATCCATCGCCCACCGACTCACACCCCCACCGCTCCCAATCCTCCCAAACACGACCCCGCACGACGTCCAACTCCCGTACTCGCTCTCGATCCGCCTCAGACTCCGCGCGTCTCCTCCTAACGACAGAGCGTCTAAATTCAGCACTCGCGCGTGCAACTAATGCTGAGAAACAATTAACCGACCTCATGTCGTTGTTCAAGACTACGTACGAGGCGAAGGTGGAGTTAGAGCGAGATGTGACCCAAGTAAGGGCGGAGCTGAATGGCTACAAGGTGATGCTGGACGTTGCTCAAAACGGTATGTCCCAATTCTTCCCCGTCCTGTTGTTCAATTTCGTGTTCTCTTCGTCTCTCTTGATACCCCATTTTATGAAATGACATCACACCGGCATTATTGCATTATGAGCCTTCCTTTCTCCGTTTCTTACGCATGCGGCTAACTTGCTTGTTTTCTTTCTCCGCAGAGATTGACCGTGCCCAAGAAGTTGTTGATCGCCTGGAGCGACAACGCGTCGAAGCGGAGGAGGAAGCAGTTCGAGCACGCCAGAATCATCGCAAGATCCAGGAAGTTCGAGCTGTCGAACTAGCGATGGAGGAAGGGCGTCGTTTGGGATACGAAGAAGGGATTCAACAAGGGCGAAACCTGAACCAGTTGTACGACTACATGGACTCTCAAGCTGAGAGTAGGAGGGTCGAACGGGATAGAGGCGAAGATAGAGATGCAGCGCAATCCACGCGAGGGAGCTTTAGTCAGTCTGGCAGTTCAAGCCGTCGCAGCCGCCGATCTTCGTCGAGGTAAGCGCAAATATTTGTTTGCCCTACTGATTACTTAGTATTTTATTTCGATGGCATGTCGGTCGATGCTCCACAACTGCAACGTCCAATTTCTGCACCTCGTTCACAACCACGTTCTCACAGTGGTTCCGTCGCGGCTCCTACAGAACACCCGCATGGTACGCCTCCAGATGTTGTGAGGTACAGCGACTCGCTACCACTGCCGACTCTATCCACGCCCCCGCCTGTCCGAGTGCCGTCGACGCAACCTCAACCTCCTCCTCCCATGCCACCTGAACAACCCCCCATGATGCCACATCCTCACGTGCACCATAGGAACAGGTCGAATTCACGGCCAGAGACCATCGATGTCAACGACAATACCCCAATTCGACCGATTTCGGTGCATAATCATAGTCCGAGTGTCGTGCATCGACCCATCACCCTTCCTCCAGACAACTATATACCGACGATGGGCCCGAATTCGATGATATCGCTCCCTCCTCCTCACGAGCTGAGCTTACCAGTGGCTCCAGAAGCTCCTCCGACCCGCCCTGCTCCTCAGCAACCACCACCCCCAATGGCCCCTTCGTCCGCGACGGGCAGACCTCGGATGAGTAGTCGTGCTGCTGAAAAAGCACGCGAAAACCCATACCCAGCTCAAGAAGAGAAATATTCTCGAGTTCCTAGTCGCGCAAGTGCATCTCGCACCGCCGACCCTTACTTTCGTCGACAAACGCCCGGACCTGGGGTAGCAGGCTCTTCTCGTGCGATATCAGTTGCATCGACACGTCTCTCTGAGCTCGATCTACTAGAATCACCTGCGACTCGTGAGGCGCAACGTGCTCGTGCTGCTTACGATGCTCGTTCGAGGAGTCGGAATGATGTTGACAACCCAAATGCTGGGCGAGCGCGTGCGACTCCAGCTCCAGGAGATAATCAGAAATACGGTCGTCCTACTTCTCCTGAAACAGTTTCCTCGAGGAAGGATGCGCAGTCTTCCAGAGTCGTACCGCCGGGTTCGACGAGAAATCCTACGGATGTAAGTAATTACCGTCTTGTTCATTTTTCACTGCAACTGACTTCGTTCTAAATTTAGCGCCCGACCTCAACCGAACCTACTCGAGTTCGTTCTCCTGGGACGTACCCCAATCGCCCTCCACGTCGTCCTCGAGAGATTATTCTTCCTACGCCACTAGCTGGAAAACTTCTCGGGAACAACATGGGCCCGAGCGCAGGCGCTTCGGGGCAGGGCAACTCCCGTTCTTGGGAAAACCCTCTTCGCCCTTCGCCTGCGCATCTTCAGGCTCAGTTATCGCCGCCCAGTCCGCCGCATAACTCGAGGTCGACTTCGAACATGACGGTTCCAGGAATCGAGATTTATACACCGGTGCGTTGGATTAGAATTTCATTGCGTCACTTAAGGCTGAATCCAATATTCTTTACTTCAGTCAAGCAAAGGCACTTCCCATTCCGAAAGAACGAACATCGACAGAGCCCTCCTCACACCCGAAGGCACTAACCAACCTCTTCCTCAATCTCAGCCTCAGGTCGCCGATCCCCAGTCCAAAACTAACCATGATCCCTTCATGAACCGCGTACCTGACGACCCAAGAATTTCGATGGTTCTGCGCGACGACAACCTCCCGGCGGGGTTCGTCCCTCTGAGCCCGATTCCGGGCATGGCTAACCTCAACTCGTACCCACCTGGGTTCACACCGAGCTTGCCTCGTAACCACCCAGCGGGTGGTGCTTCGAACTTTGTGTATCCTTCTGCACCGCTAGTTCGTGTGTCATGATCTTCCGCTTGCTATTTCGTCCATTCTCCTTGTTGTACGTGTACCTTCTGTATTTTCCCCTCCGTCGATGTGTTTTTAGAGCTATATTTACTTGATGTTCTGTTACGATGTTATGAACCATTACGCCCTCCGTTGGCACCGTGCCAAAGTCCCCGGAGTTCTGTCTTCGGAGTGAAAGAACCCTTTCATGCCTAGATTTTTTCCCGTTCCGTCTACACCGTACGTACATTCTTTGCAGCACATGAAATCTAATCCCCGTCTTTCCCTTGCATTTCGTGAAAGGCGAAACTAGAGTTGTAGGCGCCTCTCGTATTCTGCACCGGCGCTCCAATTTCCGAGTAAACCAATTCCACTTCTGGGTATATCCATGTCTTTATGTACTTCTGACAGTTCGACGGCGACTCAGTCTCTGTGGGCGCTCAATAAAAATAGACAGGCACAGACTCTCGACGTTTGCCGGGGCCGGGTTCGAATTGGAGGTAGATCAGGTACCAGTTGTGCCCCGCGTCGCGTGGGCCGGAGGAGCGACCTCCTCCTTACTTACGAGGGTGCTTCTCAGATTTCACCCTGGTGGAAGTTGGGAGGCATCTGGGATCACCCAACGTGCCTACGCGAGGAGTTGAGGTGAGATGGCGGTGGAAGATCATGCGCACGTTTTTCCTTGACGACGAGGCACCGGTCGCAGCTGAAGGTCTTCCTCCCCCTTTTGGGCCTCTCGCCCACAGAGGCGAAGACCTTCTCTCGATGCTGATGCGAGCGCGCCTCCGCAGGAGTCGGTTGCGTGTTTTTTTCTCATCGATAAATCAACGGTAAATGGTCCTATTTCTGATTCTGTTGGAAGCTCTGGAATTTTGAGAAAGAAATCAAAGGCGCGCCTATAAGATTTAACGTCCAAAAATCTCCAGAAGTCAATTGGATATGCAGTTAGTAATCGGCGTGATCACGAACGATCATGAACTTGTTCGGGCGCCTTCTGACTACTCCCGCCCCCAACCTCGTGGTAAGGCTGTGCGGAGGATCAAAAGCGGGATCCCGCCATGCCGAGGGGCGCGATTACGGGACCAGAACTCGTAATGACCATAACGCCCAGCACAAACACCCCGCCAGGCTCGCTTAAACCATTTCTCGAGGCACACATAACGAGAGTGCATGGCGCGCGTCTGCGTCCCGATAATTGAGATCGGCAGGGGGGCGAGGGAGGATAGCCAGGAACGTCGTCTAATACTCTATCTGGGCCTGTCCGGGGCGTCTTACCGTCCGTCCACTGGGCGTAAGTCCGCACGGAGGGCCGAAACGCGTCCTCGAACACCGGAAGGAACGTCGTACGGCTGGGTGCGCTCTGGCGAGGTGTGGACGCGGCGCGCCGTCTTCGATAAGCCGGGTATTCGATTTTGTCAGCCTCTTCGTTCGTTCGTTTGCCGTCCGCCGATCGATCACGCTCACGCGACTTTGGCGCGCAGTACTTCTCCCGGGCTTACTGCTCCTATCCTCGAGAAGCGCACCCGGGACCCCTTCTCTGCCTCAGCCCGTCCGTTACGGGCGACCTACGCTAGTCTGCTTAGCCCTCTAACTAATCCAAGGGTACCGGATACGGCCTACGAAGTGCTTCGGCGTCCTGCAGCCCGAACGAATTGTATCTACTCTGTAAGCACAGGTTACAACACTCGACAGAACAAGTTCCAGCTCCACTGCGTCGGCACGAAATGTGTTTCTCCCATCTGATGGAAGGCGCGGCTGCGAGACTTCCAAGTTCGCTGTCCTCTTAGAATACCAAATTCCAAGTAGGCCGAAGCTCGAACATTCGAACATGTAATCCCAGTCAACCTCATCGAAATCCGTCCGATCGAATCGAAAAGAACATCCCGTACGCCACCTCCTGAGTCGACGAAAAATCGGCCTTCCTTTGTTCACATCCACGAAGCTCGGCGCCCGGGTATACTTTCGTTGGGAGGTTCCAGTTAATAGGAATCCCATTGCGAAATCGTTCTTCCTTGCCTTGCCTTCGACTCGATCGCTCTCAGGTGCATACGCCATGTGTGGAGGAGAGGAACACCCCACGTTTGAATTCGATCGAGCGTCCTTCGATTACCAACGATTGCGAGGGAATTACAAAGATCGTTCCGAGTCCAGACGGTCAAGCACTCCTGTTTCTTGAAGTCAAGATCACGCGTGACGGTCTTCGGACTTGGACGTTCAAACGTGCGATAGAAAGAGACAAGAGATAAGAGGGAATTTTATTCGGTGACAAGGTATACAGACACACACACATTCGGTAGGAGAGTAGACAGAGTAGCGTACGTTGAGTTAGGAGTGGGTAGTAAATATGTAACATTCAAAGAAATGGAGTGACTAAGATTGGACGAGGATATGTAGAAAAAACGAGAAGAGCTTTTCGTTTTAAATCCAACAAGACGTAGGAAGGTTGAAGAGCGGGCGGCAGAGTACACACAAGTATAGGGGACGAGGGCCAAGATGATCAAGACGCAGCAATAGAAAGGAAAGAATAAAGCAAAGGTATATATAGTACGTATAAACGATATGGCATTGGATGGACGAGATTAGGTGTATAGACACGAAAAGAAAGCGAACGGCGCATCGTTTCCCGGGAATAGACTAGGGTATGTTTAAGCAGGGATACGGTGGGAAGGGGGATGGAAGAGCAACGTTCGACCCGAACCCAAAAACGACGAAGAATAGGTCGAAGAAAGAAAAAAGAAAAAAGAAAAACGAATTAAAACGCACGACGAGGATGCCTACGCCCTCATTGCTCCAAAAGAAGCGGCGGCGTGAGGAGCGCCGACTCGAACTTGACCATCCCGTTGTTGTTGTTGCTGTTGGCCTGCATCATCCCTTGCATCCCTCCCATCCCCATCGCGCCCATCATCCCTCCCATACCCTCCATACCGCCCAGCTCCAGGCCCACCACCATACCCTCCATACTGTACAGTACCCCCTGCTCCTGCGCCTCCTCCAGCTGCCGCTGATGACGAAAATACATCTCCGCCTCCGCCTGGCGATCGTCGTGCACCTGCGTATGCATTTGCGTATGGGTGTGCGCGTGCGAATGGGCGTGGTGAAGCGTCGCTGTCTGAGGAGGCGGGCGAGGCCGGAGATCGAGGTCCGCCCCCACCCCCGCCGTACCCGCCCCCTGTTGAGGAGGAGGACCCGGGTGAGCCGGAAAATGCGGGTGAATGGGCGAGGGCGTGGTACTGCTGCTGTTGTCGGTATACTGGTGGTGCGCCGGGGCCGGATAGTGATGTTGCGGGACCTGGAGGTGCGTAGGATGTTGTTGATGGTGGTGGTGCGGGTTGTAGTACGGCGCCGGGGCCTGGAGGTGTGGGTGTTGATGGTGATGCGGTGGACGATGCTGAGCCTGAAGTTGCACTTGCGCCTGAGCCTGAGCCTGCATATAACGCATGTACTGCTCCTCGTCCGAACTCTGCTGAGCCTGTGCTTGGCGCAACTCCAGGTCCAGTTGCGCCTGCTGCTGCATGCGAAGCTCTTGCGAATAATGCTGCTGTTGAGGAGGATGTTGGTGCTGCTGTTGAGCCTGCTGTGGGTGGCGAGCCTGTCCGATCGAAGAGGCGGAGCGCCGAGGCACCAGAGACGAGTCCTGACGATGTGGTCGGGCGCGAGCCGCCGCCATAGCCTGGGCCTGACGTTGCTGCTGATAGTAAAAATGCGCCAGGTCCTGTGGCGTACCCCTGCTGGTGCTGCGAGGCGGGCCGTTGGTGTTCGGGGGAGTCGTCGTTGCAGAGTTCCATGACGGAGAGGCGGCGAGACTGAGGTCGGGACTCGGAGCCATAGTCGTAGTTGAGGTCGCCGAGGAGGGAGCCGATGCCGGAGGAGGAGCCGGGGGGCTGTTGCGCGGGGTGCCCGCCATGTTGCCCGTGTGCTGCGGTGGGGGCATCATCGTGTGGGCCGTCGGGGCCGCCGAAAGCTCGCTTGCGTGGGTTTGAGGCGGCGGCGGGTGAGGTATTTGTGTTTGCGACGGTTGCGGAGGCGGGTGTGGGATCGAGGGCTGGGGGGTGGAAGTAAAATGGGGAGGCGTCGATGCCCCCGGGTGAAGTGGGGACCTCTCCTGCGGCGGTGGCATCGTACCCACCGGCCGCTGCTCCCACGTACTGCTCGCCGGCACCGAACCCTGTCCGTCCACCGAAGCCTGAGTGTAGGAGTGATAAGTCTGGACGCCCGCTGCTGCTGCTGCTGCTGCCCACGCCGCCTCCTGGTACGAAAGTGGATGATGATGACCTTGAGAAGAAAGATGCGGAGGCAGGTGCTGTTCCTGGGCGCGACGAGGCTGTTGATGGTCGTCTGAGGGCGTGAAAGGGAAAAACGGATTGTGACTGCTGTTGGTTGGCGATACCCTGGGGTGAGGAGAGGGAAGCGGAGACGACTGCAGCGAGTGGCGGGAGTGATCTAGGATGGAGCGTGTCGGCAAGACCAGACGAAGTGGAGGGCCTTGAAGAGGTTCCTGCGCCGGGGAAGGAGAGAAAGGAATGGGACTGGGCTGCGGCGGCAGCTGCTGTTGTTGTTGCTGTACTTGAGGGGGCAAGAAAGGACTGGCCGGGCTCACGAAAGGAAGATTGTTGCCCGCGCTCACGAAAGGAATGGCTGCTCGCTGTCCGCGAGCTCGGTCGTTCCAGATCCACCTGCCAACTTGGCTGGCTGCTGGTGTACATCATGTCCCCGCCCTCGTACCCCGTGCTCGTACCCGGACGCTGGTGCATCGGCATCGAACCCATCTCCTCCTGCTTGATCAGATTCAGCTGCACCTCCGTTGGCGAGCCACCACCACCCGCGTTGGTGCCGTAAGGAATGTAAGTGAAGGTCAACAATCCGCACGAAAGAACGCAAGAAAAAGGATAATTGTTGGGCGTCATTTAGCTGGATTGGACGGACGCGGAGAAATGTACGTTGGATGGATGAGATAAGGAATGATTAGGTCAGGGAAAAGAATGACTTTAGAGGACAATTCACGCGCGGATGGAGATAATTGTTTTCTTTAGGCGTTGATTGAAATTTGACTGATACATATGCGATTGTGACAGCGCGCACTGAGGAGAGGATGTGGTGGTCGGGCGTGTTCTGGGTGCGGCGGTGGTCTCGACGCGTTCTCGTGTGCGGGCCATTATTTTCGGACAGGGGAATAGCGTGCGTTGAAGATAGCGGGACGGAGGAGGAGATCGGGCGTATCTCGCCTCTCCAAACTCACGATCCCACCCCATCCGACGCCAAGGCCCTCACACCATTCATCACGCCAGATCACGTCCCACGCCCATCAAATTTCAATCCCCACCCGAGTGTCCAAGCCCATCACGCCGAACCCCCTGGGTGGCGGTGCAAAGGCCCCTTGGGCCTTGTTCTCGAATGGGGATCGGCGTGAAGGATTCGAAGGCGTGAGTGGACACACTGGACAGGGCCTGGGCTCGGAGGGCGCGCTACGTCCGACGGAGTGCGATGTGAGTAGTGTTGGGATGGAATGGAATGAGGAGGAAGGAAAGAGCGAAGGAAAGGAGAGAAAGCGGGGTGGGAAACAAGCCAATCATGAGACGCGGTGAACGGCTGCGTTCGTGAATCGCCGGTCGTCGGCCGTCGGGTGTGCCGCTTACTCTTTCTCTCTCAGTCTGTGATGCGCTCAGCGCGTAAGCGCATAGTCAATTCGATATTCGATACGCTACTCGTTTCTCGTCTCTGATATCTAATTAAATCAACGTATCTCTCGCCGAATTTTAGCCAACGTTCTGCCTCACCTTTACTCATGTTCAACGCCTGTGATTCACACATAATTGATTTCCCGAGTCGTCGTATTTCCTTCTTCCGAGCGAGCGTGCCTGGCTTCACCTTCCTTTACGTACGGCCTCACAAAATAGACCCCAATCCCCGATACGTTGGCGCATCCCACTAGATCCCACTCCACCCTTCCCTTTCGACCCAAATCGTCCAACCCACTCCAACCGCTTTACCTCATTCGATCAGAGACTCAGTTCGTTCCTGGATCCTCGGGACCTGACGATTACGACTACGCTCTGATCCACGCATCGTTCACGTTCACGCTTATGGATGCTTACGGTTACAGACGCTTACGCTTTACTCCACCCGTACACTATATGTACGTGTTGAGGTCGGCAGCCGGGATCTTGTTTTCAGATGAGGTCGAGGTCTAGAATGTCAACGGCAGCGGCAGAGAGGTAGGGATCTAAGGTTGGACGTTGGACGTCGACATCGACACGAGCATCGACGTGAAATGGACTCTGAAGCCAAGGCCGGAAGGTCGTTCGTATCCTTGCTCTCCTCTTCCGCTTCACTGCTCCACCACAGTACTGCTCTAGATCTCTTCCAAATGCCCCTTTCTCAAATCCACCTAGAAGCGCCTTCCCTGATGGCCAACGCATCGACGCATGCACCGCTAGCTACTGAACGACGTCGACCGCACCCGCCGACGCCTACCCCTACACTCCCAATTCCTCTGCCCAAAATGACGATCACGAATTCCCCGAGCCCGCACATGGAATAGCCCTCGGGGTTGTCGGAGGGTAATTTCCAATTGCCCTGTTCTCAGATATCAATTCGCGTTGAAGGGAAAATGTGGACTCATGCGGGGTCGAGACTCGACGGAAGGGTTGGTCCGTCGATCCTTTCCTTTGAGGCTTATCGCTCAACTCAACTCATGATTCGATCGTTCTTAGAGATCTAGAGGAAAGACGAACCTGAAGGAACCGTGGACGTGTTCTCGAGTACACAGGCAACGCTGTCGGACGTCGGGATTTCCTCTCGTGAGGGTACGGCACAGGGGAAATATAGAGTCGAGGCCTGATAGAGCCGCTGAACGAGGCATTCTTTTCCTTTCGTTCGACGTTGTCGATCAACTGACTGGACTGAAGCTTCCGGCTTTCTAGTCAGAAATTGAGCGTTGAATGAGGGTGGTAGATATCTATCTGGATGCTCGACCCACCCAGACTCAACACCTTTCTTCCCTGCAGCTTGTGAGTTTATTCGCTCCAATATCCTGGCTTATATGTCACGCGCCCTCACACCCAGTTAAAGGTTCTGGACAATGTCCTTCAGCTACTCGATGAAAGACCCGACGGGAATAATCAACACCACATCCGTAAGTCTCTCAGCAGCTCCTTCGTTCTATCCTCACGTCCATTTAGGCTTTCGACTTCTACTTCACTCCTACGCCAAACTGGACAGGTTTTTGTCCAACCCAACGATCTATTTTCGCCGTCCAAATCACCAGAATGGTTGTTCGTGCGATCTGCACGAGTACCTCTATTATTCTATCAACCACTATCTCGTAATCTCCCTCCAACAGCTGAGTTGTTGACTCGGATGGACGATATCCTGAACTTGTACTGTGCGTTGATTGTTTTCCGTCCATTGCCCCACTTCGCGATCCCGCCCGTCTCTGACTCAGCACCCTCTCCTCTCCTCCGTGGTGTCCATGAACCCGAGTCGAACGTACTGTTCACCATAATTTTCCCTGGTAAGATTCAAAAAGAAACTTGTTCTGACGTTATAAATCGATCTAACAACTTGTCGAGAACGAAGAAGGATGTGGACGAATTTTCCTTGTGTGGTGTGGGCTTAAGCGCTCAAGGCCCAACAGTTTGTTGGTAAGTGCGTCCTTTTTAATCGCCCCATCGGGTTCTGCTCAAACTCCAAATGCGGCCGTTGAAGTCTCCATCGCTCGCCCTTCATTTTCTTCTTCACCCTCTGTCGTCCTCTAAGTGATCAAAGCTGGAGTAGGTGAGCTTTGTTCTTCTGCACCTCTGTCGCATTCTCACGTCCAGTAGAGGCTTTATTGTAAACCGGTCTTGTTTCTCCCATCCGACGACTCGGCCCTGGACTCTAGGAAGAGCAGTTCTCTCTAGGGGTCCTATTCATTTCCCGGTCCGAATGACTACTCCTTCGCGCCCCGTCTTGGTTCTGTCTGGTATTTACTGCGGAGCCTCTTATCCCTGCCGTTTGCTCATCAACCAAGGGCGAACGTTCACTATGTCTCAATTCGCCCTGAAAGAACTTGGCCACATTCTCGAGGGGTGAGTCTCCTCGCATTCTCTCCTCGAGTAAACCATGTCGGCGGTGTTAACTTTCGGATGCAGACCCCTTCCAAATGCGCTCGAAGAAACTGCGCCACATCTCGATTCAGTACCTCTCTACCCCTCGCTTCTCCGCGACGCCCACTGACCCTACCTGTCAACTAGCTCCAACGCTCTCCTCACCTCGTTTCGTCCGATTCTCGGTAAGCAGGATCATGATCGTTCTCTTTTCGCACTTGACTAAACGGATCTCGTTCGGATTCTGAAATCAATCATTTTATAGGTTGTTGAGGGATCTACAAATGATGAAATATCGACTTTTCGTCGCTCTCTGCGGATGCGTTGACCAAGGGCTCGTCGGTTAACCTGTATCCGGGGCTGATGAAGCTCCTACGATGTAGTACTCTATCGTCTCCGACTTGATGCTTACCTTCTCTAGACCTTCCATGACGCCACACAATAATGATCATTTTATCCACGACCAATTGGGACACGCACACTGCCTCGTAGTCGCATTGTATCTTCGTCCCGATTTCGAACGGAATCCAAGAAAGAATCCCATTTATCTCTCTCATTACCTGCCTCTGTCTTTCTCCATCGAGGTCCAGAGGTGACAGCCATCGCAAGGGATTAGAAGTCATTTATCTTTTCGTCGTACTAATTGTTTATTTTCTCTCAACAGAGAAACCTAGGTCCGGTAGTTCGCCATCCTGAAAATCCTCTTCCCAATCGCTCCTTTAAAATCGAGATTCCTTCCCTTGCACCCGAGGCGCCCATGAAGCTAACGTTCGGTTCGCTCCGAACGCCCTCTCACCTCCATTCAGTTATTTGCACGACCTAGGATGGGTAAGCCAAAACCTTTTCCTCCATGAACTTACCCAAATCCACCCTAACGTTGCTAAGACTCGAGTCTCATGATTTATCAGTCTATCAATCACCGTCGCACGTCATGTCGCACAAGTGTACTCTAAGGACCTACAAAGGGTCTACAGACCCCGTTTTTCCATCCTTGGACCGTCAAGTTCCGTCCCGACTCGGGGCAAAGGATATCCAGGGCTGATGTTTCTCGTATCGCCTCGTAGGCTTATAGAGTTATTTTCTCTGAAGTCGAATCTTCAATCAACTGATGCTCCTCGTCACTTGTTGTAAGCGTCGACATTTTTTCCTTTTCTGCTCGTTCGAGGGTAGTTCTTCGTGTTTGATCATGATCATTTTCCGAGCATTCGAGGATCATTTATTCAGTTTGGCTTCGACTCGGTGAATCCATCGCCATTAGTTCAAGGAGTATCCCGAGGACAATTAGACGATTCTATGAGGAGATCGCATGTGGGATTCGAGACGCTGCCGCCCCAGTCAGCTTGCTACAGTCATCGTCCTCCGGGAGCATAAAAATGAAGAATTTATTTATGTCTTCTCTGACGAGAGCGAGGGCGGTCAATTATTCGTCGCCTGACGTTCCAAATTCCTCCCCGGGATTAGAATCACTCACCGTTGTCCGTAGCCTGCACGAAGGCTCCTTCAAAACTATTTCAATGGCCGAAAACGGCCTAATTCGACCCTGCTGGAATTCCCAGAGCACGTAACCTCCATCAATCACAATTCTACGCCGTGTTGTCCAAAACCACGCTCCAAGATAACTAATCTCCTCTCTGGCGTCGTCTAACGGAGAGTAGACTTTGGACTCGGGGAACGCACATCCAGGGTTGGTCCTCTTTCGAATCCTACATTACCAACCATCGATGGCTTGCCTCCGGGATGATTTCTTTCCTTTCTCTACGGACAGTTGGACGTTTCTTCGCGCCACAGCATCATGATGATCACTTCCGAAATACGTTCGC